CCATATGGAAAGGTTTGGATATATTTTATGGCATTGTTTGGGAAAAACGCAAACTGTGTGCTTCCTATGCTGTCACATCACCACAATCATGACCACAGAAGAGTTCTGTGACCAAATGTGTTGGGTTTCTTCCCCACACACCAAGCAGTGGACACCCGCTGCGTGTACTCTGATTTAATTCCAACACATTTACCCAGAGATAGCATCAGATTCCATGAGTTGAGAGCTCAGTCCCCAAGTCTGCCTCCCCCCACCTTCAGATACTAGCTGCAGGTCGGGGCCTCGGGCCTCCAGAACTTCTGACCAACTGGCTCCAGGTTGGGGTTTCCACAACTCCCTCTTTGGGCTCAATTTGCTGGAGTGGCTCACAGAGCTCAGGAGAACACGTTTGCCAGTTTATTACAAAGGATGTTACAAAGGGTACAGATGAAGGGTACAGAGCGAGGTGTAGGGGAAGGAGCGTGGAGTTTCCATGCCCTCCCTGGGCGTGCTACCCTCCAGGAGCCTCCAGAGCTGAGATCACGCCACTGCACTCCAGCCTGGGCAACAGAGCGAGACTCTTTCTCAAAACAAAACAAAACAAAGCAAAAATATCTGTTACACATACACATTTCTGTCTTATCCTTTCGCCTTCCTTTATGAACATTGTTGGTATGTTCGATGGAATTAGGGAAATTAGTTGGGAAATGTTGGCAGTTGTTGGACATGAGATGATAGTGGCTTAGATAGAAAATGTTGCAGGTAGACCTTCCATGACTTGGTAGTGGATTGATTACTAGGTGTATTAATCCGTGTTCATACTGCTATAAAGGACTGTCTGAGACTGGGTAACTTACAAAGGAAAGAGGTTTAATTGACTCATAGTTCACAGCATGACTGGGGAGGCCTAGGGAAACTTACAATCATGGCAGAAGGTGAAAGAGAAGGCATCTTCTTCACAAGGCAGCAGGAAGGAGAAGTGCCAAGCAAAGCAGGGAGAGCCCCTTCTAAAACCATCAGTTCTCGCCAGGTGCAGTGGTGCAGTGGCTCAAGCCTGTAATCCCAGCACTTTGGGAGGCCGAGGTGGGTGGATCACGAGGTTAGGAGATTGAGACCATCCTGGCTAACAGGGTGAAAGCCCGTCTCTACTAAAAATACAAAAAACTAGCCAGGCGTGGTGGCGGGCACCTGTAGTCCCAGCTACTCGGGAGGCGGAGCTTGCAGTGAGCCAAGATCGTGCCACTGCACTCCAGCCTGGGCGACAGAGTGAGACTGTCTCAAAAAAAAAAAACGAAAACCAAAACCCATCAGATCTCGTGATAACTCACTATCACGAGAACAGCATGGGGGAACTGCCCCCGTGATTCAATTCCCTGGTCTCTCCCTTGACACATGGGGATTCTGGGGATTACAATTCAAGATGAAATTTGGTTGGGGACACAAAGCTTACTCATATCACTAGGTGAAAGACAAATAAGAATCAAAGATTACTTCCGAAAGGCCAAGGGTTTTGTTTTGGAGGTGATACGTGTAAGCTCTTTGTGCACTGCCCCCATCAAGGTGTTACATAGGTCATTAGGCAGCGCTCTGGTCAGGACAGGAGGCAGAAGTGTCTCAGTCACCACAGCTGCAGGATTGGATGAGACCTCTCAGGAGAGGGAGAGCAGAAGGCATAGACTGTGCACAGAAGTCTGTTTGCTTTGCAGACTTAGAGGGAGTTGATGTTTGCTTTTATTCTCTCCATGAAGTATGTGTATGAAGCAGGGTCCCAGTTGAGAGTTAGTGAGCATGTATTGGAGGTTTTGTTGTTTTTTGTTTGTTTTTGAGACAGAGTGTCGCTCTGTCGTCCAGGCTGGAGTGCAGTGGGATAATCTCAGCTCACTGCAACCTCTGCCTCTCAGGTTCAAGTGATTCTCGTGCCTCAGCCACCCGAGTAGCTGGGATTACAGGTACACCATGATGCCTGGCTAATTTTTCTATTTTTAGTAGAGCTGGGGTTTCACCATGTTGGCCAGACTAGTCTTGAACTCCTGACCTCAAGTGATCCACCTGCCTCAGCCTCGCAAAGTGCTGGGATTATAGGCGTGAGCCACTGAGCCCAGCCTTGTATTGGAGTTTTGAGGACTGAGGAGAAAATTTTACTTTGGAAAATGGGAAAATAGACCCACTAGAAGCTTTGGAAGGATGGCTGGGCAGTGTGGAGTGCCACTTTGGGACTTCGTGTCATAAAATTTAAAGGGAGACTAGCTGGGTTGATTGGTTCAGGTGCCGGGGTAAGTGGCTCATTGGGCTTAACCTGCACTAGGGTTTTGTCTGACAAGTAATGGAGGTGGGTGGGGCTAGAGAGGCAAGGGAGCTTGCAAATGTGTGATGATGCTGATGGAGGACCCCAAATTCTGAGAGGAGTGAGGGGGCAGGAAGTGAAGCCATGAGGGGCGTTGTGAACAGGGACCAAGTGCTGGTGTCAGTGTGCCCAGACTTCCTGCAGAGGCCAGCGGATTGTCAGAGAGGGCAGAAAGGGTGAGTGGCCCGAATAACGAAGGCAGCAAGGCTTGAGGCTGAGATTTTAGAGGGGCAGTTCTTGGTGATGGCAAGGAGAGGGTAGATCAGAAAAGGCAAATGCAAGAATAGGTGGAACTGGCCGGGCGCGGTGGCTCAAGCCTGTAATCCCAGCACTTTGAGAGGCCGAGGCGGGCGGATCATGAGGTCAGGAGATTGAGACCATCCTGGTTAACATGGTGAAACCCCGTCTCTACTAAAAAGTAAAAAAAAAAAAAAAAAAAAAAAATTAGCCAGGCGTGGTTGTGGTCGCCTGTAATCCCAGCTACTCGGGAGGCTGAGGCAGGAGTTTGCAGTGAGCCAAGATTGCGCCATTGCACTCCAGCCTGGGCAGCAGAGTGAGGCTATCTCAAAAAAAAAAAAGTATAGGTGGAATTGAGGCGGTCAGTGAGCAGTCAGGAACATTTGAAGGCTCATCCATGTGGATGTGCACAAGGAGGTGACAGGAGGGGGACAAGAGGAGGCAGTGATCGGGAACTGAGAGGAGTGGCAGAGAACAGTAGAGACGGCAAAGAGGAGGGTTGTGGCTTGATGGCATGGTCTTCCGAGAAGCCGAGGTTTTGAAGAGAGATCTAGGCATGATTTAAAAGTATGAAGGGACCAGGCTCCCAGGCACCTGGTGTGTGAAAGGAAGAACAGCCTCCCTAGGCAGGATTCTATCAGGACCAAAAGGAAAGGGCCCTTCAGAGAAGACAGCCCATGTTCTGGAACGCATGTGAAAGGTTGGGCGGTCTGGAAAAGAGATAAGGGTGAACAAGAATGTATTGCCTCCTCTGGTCAGTGCACTGGGCATGCCGATGCGCCTGGGAGCCAGCGGTCCCTGCCTTGGCTGCTTGAGGGAGTAATTGAGGCACAGTGGTGGCAGCTGGCTAAGCACCTGTGGCCCGCTTCGGATCTGGACTTCTTGTGAGGACTGGCTCTCCTGGCTACCAGGGCTAGGGAGTTACAGGGGGTATGTGAGTGACGCCTGCTTTGGGAACATAAACCCCCCTCCCCCACCCCCATGTGCGCTGTGACCCGCGCCCTCGCAGTCCTTTCTGTCGAATCATCCATGCGCTCCTGGAGCAAGCTGGGGCGTCTGTGAAGGGGTGGGTGAGAACGGGCTGAGGTTGCGCCCGCCCCGTCACCCGCTCTCCCCTCTCCCCCGCCCCTGACATCCTAGACACCATCCGGAAGATGAAGAACGATTTCCGGAAGATGGAGGATGAGATGGACCGGCTGGCCACCAACATGGCAGTGATCACGGACTTCAGCGCGCGCATCAGCGCCACGTTGCAGGACCGCCACGAGCGCATCACCAAGTTGGCAGGTGGGCGCCGCCAGGCGGGGCCTGCAGTGGGCCTTTCCTGGGGCTCTGGGGCTAATGTCACCCTCCATCCCCCAGGGGTCCACGCGCTGCTGCGGAAGCTGCAGTTCCTCTTTGAGCTGCCTTCGCGCCTCACCAAGTGCGTGGAATTGGGCGCCTACGGGCAAGCGGTGCGCTACCAGGGCCGCGCGCAGGCCGTGCTGCAGCAGTACCAACACCTGCCCTCGTTCCGCGCCATCCAGGACGACTGCCAGGTCATCACGGCACGTCTGGCCCAGCAGCTGCGGCAGCGCTTCAGGTGTGGCCCCCCTGCCCTGACCCCAGCGCTCCCGCCGGCCCCGAACCCCATCTATGCCCTGCTCCTGGGCCCTCCTGGAGCTGTTGCTCTGCCCTGTGCTTTGCTTTCCTGCTCCTGCCCCATCCACCGGCAGCCCCAGCCCTGCCCTTCACTACCTCTCTCTCGTGCAGGGAGGGCGGCTCAGGCGCCCCGGAGCAGGCGGAGTGCGTGGAGCTGCTGCTGGCCCTGGGCGAGCCTGCAGAGGAGCTGTGCGAGGAGTTCCTGGCACACGCCCGCGGCCGCCTGGAGGAGGAGCTGAGAAGCCTGGAGGCTGAGCTGGGACCCTCGCCTCCGGCTCCTGACGTGTTAGAGTTCACCGACCACGGAGGCAGTGGCTTCGTGGGCGGCCTCTGCCAGGTGGCGGCGGCCTACCAGGAGCTGTTTGCAGCCCAGGGCCCAGCAGGTGCCGAGAGGCTGGCGGCCTTTGCCCGGGAGCTGGGGAGCCGCTATTTTGCGCTGGTGGAGCGGCGGCTGGCGCAGGAGCAGGGTGGTGGTGACAACTCGCTGCTGGTGCGGGCGCTGGACCGCTTCCACCGGCGCTTGCGGGCTCCCGGGGCCCTGCTGGCCGCTGCTGGGCTCGCAGAGGCTGCAACGGAGATCGTGGAACGCGTGGCCCGCGAGCGCCTGGGCCACCACCTGCAGGGTCTCCGGGCGGCCTTCCTGGGCTGCCTGACTGACGTCCGCCAGGCGCTGGCAGCGCCTCGAGTGGCTGGGAAGGAGGGCCCTGGCCTGGCCGAGTTGCTGGCCAATGTGGCCAGCTCCATCCTGAGCCACATTAAGGCCTCTCTGGCAGCAGTGCACCTTTTCACCGCCAAAGAGGTGTCCTTCTCCAACAAACCCTACTTCCGGGTACGCCTCCTCTTGGGTGTTCCTTGTTCAACCTGCTGGTTGACCCTCCAAAACCTTTTATACCAGTGCTTGGGAAACTGGGGAAACCAGGCACTCTGGGTGTGGTTTCAGGTTCTTATGCACAGTCTGGGGGGTGGGTAAGGTTCGGGGCATCTGCAGCTGGGCTGAGTGCCCTGAGAAGCAGGCATGGTGAGGTCCCCAGTGTTGGCTTTCTCTACCCCCACTCAGGGAAGCTGCTACAGGGTACTTAGAAAGCAGGATGATGCTGTCCCTTGCAGAGGGGGCTGGAGCACTTAGAGCCCCAGCAGAGGGTCATTAACAGCCCTACCTGGAAGAGGGGACCTGCTGTGGACCTGGGCACCTTCTCCTTGCAGGGTGAGTTCTGCAGTCAGGGTGTCCGTGAGGGCCTCATCGTGGGCTTCATCCGCTCTATGTGCCAGACGGCTCAGAGCTTCTGCGACAGCCCTGGGGAGAAAGGGGGTGCCACACCACCTGCCCTGCTCCTGCTGCTCTCCCGCCTCTGCCTGGACTATGAGACGGCTACCATCTCCTACATCCTCACTCTCACTGATGAACAGTTTCTGGTGCAGGTGAAGCACTAGCTCCTAGTCGGGCAGGGAATGGTGGTTCGGGGAATGCAGGTGGCTGGACAGTGCCCTCCTGGCCAGACCCTGGACCAGCTGCCTGTGTGTACCCCAGCCTCCACCTTGCCCAATCTGTGCCCAGCTCCTGGTTGGCAGTGGCCCCTGAGCTGTACCCCCATACCCACTCCCTCTGTCCTCTGCCTCTTTGGCTCAGGATCAGTTCCCAGTGACGCCCGTGAGCACACTGTGTGCAGAGGCCAGGGAAACGGCACGGCGGCTGCTGACCCACTACGTGAAGGTGCAGGGCCTGGTCATATCACAGATGCTGCGCAAGAGCGTGGAGACTCGGGACTGGCTCAGCACTCTGGAGCCCCGTAATGTGCGGGCCGTCATGAAGCGGGTGGTGGAGGATACCACCGCCATCGACGTGCAGGTGCTGCCCAGGCTGTCTGGGGGAGCCCTGACGCAGGCTGGGGGTGCTGTCCCTTCAAGAGGGGCTGGGGAAGCAGAGGATCACTAGCAGTCTCTGCCTGGAGGAGGAGACATGTGTATCTGGGCTTCTTACGGGGCCAGTTCTGTAGCCAGGGCGTCCCTGAGGGAACCCCGGGGGAACAAGTCTCCAAGGATGAAGACGAAAGGGGCTGGGCAGTGCCTATGTCCACGGTCTTGTTCCTCTTCAGCCCAGGATTATGACATCTTCGCCCCTATTTTACCTGTGGAGAAGCATAGGCTCAGGGTTACCCAGGAAGTCAGGGCAGGGTTGGTGCTGGTGCCCATGCTGAGGCTGAAGATTAGGCCTCAGACCAACTCTTGTGTCCTGCCTTTGCCCCACTCCACTGGTTCTATAAATAGCGACCACGTACCTACTAAATAGCAGGCCCGGTGGTGACTACCCTGTTATTCTCGTAATGCTTGAGTAGCTGACTTAAGGGCATCCTCAGCACCGATGGGCGATTTCCCCTGGCTCTGGCCTCCTTGTAGTACCCCTTTTTACCACCAGGTGGGGCTTCTGTACGAAGAGGGTGTTCGCAAGGCCCAGAGCAGCGACTCCAGCAAGAGGACCTTCTCCGTGTACAGCAGCTCTCGGCAGCAGGGCCGCTACGCCCCCAGCTATACCCCCAGGTCTGGCTGGTCAGGGGAGCCCCAGGAGAAAGGGACAAAAGAGGGCGAAGGTGCAGAGCGGGCTGTGATTCCTTGTCTCCCCCAATTCAGTGCCCCGATGGACACCAACCTCTTGAGCAATATCCAGAAGCTGTTCTCTGAACGTATTGATGTGTTCAGCCCTGTGGAGTTCAACAAGGTCCGACTTCCAGCGTGACTCAGACTTCCAGGGAGCCCGGGGAGGGTTGGCTGGAGCAGCCCCACACCTGCCCAAGGAGCTCCAGGACTCTGTGACCAACTGGGGGTGACCCTGACCCTCTAGTCTCTGTCTCTAGGGCTGTTCTTAGGTAGTACAGAGTGCCCTGCCCCCAAATCCCACAGCCATTGTCCCAACCTTGGTGTGTGCCCAGCCTGAGTCTCTGGGTGCTGACCTGGGATGACTCTGCCCTTGTCCTTATCCCCACAGTAGTCTTGGGGCCTTCCCAGGGTTTTCTGTTCACCCATGGTTCCTGCCCCACCTCACCCCAAGCTCAGGGATGCCTCTGATTGCTGGGCCCTACCTGTCCCCTGCCCGCCAGATGACGGCGCTAATATTGTATCCCTCCGCTTTTATCTGGCCCTGGAGACTTTCTGCCTCATCCCAGCTACTTCCATCGTATGTCTCCCCGGCCCCTGCTTGGAACTTGGGTGACCCCCCCCAAAACCTGCTGTCCCCAAGCTGCATCCCTGTGTACCTGTCTGCAGGTGTCGGTGCTGACTGGCATCATCAAGATCAGCCTGAAGACGCTGCTGGAGTGTGTGCGGCTGCGCACCTTTGGGCGCTTCGGGCTGCAGCAGGTGCAAGTGGACTGCCACTTTCTGCAGCTCTACCTGTGGCGTTTTGTGGCCGACGAAGAACTGGTGCACTTGCTGCTAGATGAAGTGGTGGCCTCGGCTGCCCTGCGCTGCCCAGACCCTGTGCCCATGGAGCCCAGTGTGGTCGAGGTCATCTGCGAGCGCGGCTAGGCGCAGCCGCTGCCATGCACAGGCCTGTCCCGGCGCCCCATGGCACCCAGGCTCTGGTCTCCGCCCGGTGGTCCCTGCAGGCAGGTGTCAGGACCTACCTAATAAACATGTGTGGCCTCCTCCTCTCGCTTGCTGGGCGGGCCTTTCCGAGGGCTGGGTTTTGAAGCTGAGGCTTCTGAGGCGCCCGCGTCGGGTCCGCCCCTGAGTGCCGATTGGCTGGTGTGCTGGGCCCAGGATGGGCAGGGGGCGGGTCCATTTAAAAACCCTGGGACAAGAGCGGTCCTTGTCTGCACTCGGTGTCCAGGCAGGTGCAGGCGCCGCGGGGCCGGATCCTCCGCGCGGACAAGTCCATCTCCTGGGAAATGGGGCGGACTGTGTTTCCTTGACCGACTATTGTGAGCGCCCTCTCTCCGGCGGAGCGGAGACCATGGCCCCTCCTGAGGGCCCCCGGGCCCCGCTGGAATTCGGAGGGCCCCTGGGTAATGGGGCAGCGAGAAGGGACCTGGGGCAAAGGCTGAGCGAAGGAGAGCTGGAGGGGGTGAACTAAGAGCGGAGACAGGATCTGAGGATGGAAGGTTTTGGGGGTGTCGGAGGCAGAGGGACCCGGGGGTTTGCAGCGAAGGTGTCTGGAGAGGGAGAGCTGAGCAGGGGTCGGTTCTGGGGCTGCAGAACGGGGATTTATGGTGTCGACTGGGAGCAGGAGGAGGGTCTTCGAGGGGGGAGCGGGGGACCAAGATGGACGCCTGGGAAGGGAACTGGGAGGCAGCGGGGTACCTGAGGGCTGAGGAGGGGTGCAGAGGCACACTCTGGGAATGCCGAAAGGGTCCCGCGGAGACGTCAGAGCGCCGGTGGGGGACGGGGGGGGGAGCTGGGGCGCTGGGGGCGGACGCCCGATGTGATGGCCCATCCCGCAGGCGCCGCGGTTCTGCTGCTGCTGCTGCCCGCCACCATGTTCCACCTGCTCCTGGCGGCCCGTTCGGGCCCCGCGCGCCTGCTGGGTCCACCCGCGTCCCTGCCTGGGCTGGAGGCGCTGTGGAGCCCACGGGCGCTGCTGCTGTGGCTCGCCTGGCTCGGCCTGCAGGCGGCGCTCTACCTACTGCCGGCGCGCAAGGTGCGGGCGCCGCTCGCGCACGCTCGGGGGAGGGAGGCGGAGGGGCTTGGCGAGGGAGAGGACGCCCCGGGCCTTATCAGAGCCCCCTTGGACCCGCAGGTGGCTGAGGGGCAGGAATTGAAGGACAAGAGTCGCCTGCGCTATCCCATTAACGGTGCCTGGGGGACGGGCCCTCGCGCTGGAGTTAAGCGGCCGTGGGTGGAGCTCCAGCCCTAGCGGGGAGGTCCACGGAGATTGGCCCCCACCCCAGGCTCCTTTGCGTGCCTCTTTGTGAGCCCCAGGACAGACGCCGGGGGCTCTCCCTAAGCCCCTCGTCCCCACACCCTTACCCCGTTTACTGCTACTCCGTGCACCACAGCAGTGGCTGGGGTGATCCTCTGAAGGCCAGGGTGGCAGCCTAATGCTTGGGGTAGGGTCTGCGGCCCCCCTGAGTTTTGGGCTCTGTGTGTGTTCGCAGGGTGGGGATGTGGAGGTGCGCAGCCCCAGGGCTCACTGTGTGCTGTGGTTTAGGCTTCCAGGCCCTGGTGCTGACAGCCCTGTTGGTGGGGCTGGGGGTGTCAGCAGGGCTGCCTCTGGGGGCGCTCCCGGAAATGCTCCTGCCCTTGGCTTTTGTCGCCACCCTCACCGCTTTCATCTTCAGCCTCTTTCTCTACATGAAGGCGCAGGTAGCCCCAGTTTCGGCCTTGGCACCTGGGGGGATCTCAGGTGAGAGGGGTTCTAGGGGTGGAGATGGAAGCAGATCGGGGCGTCTGCCTGTACATTCACTCTCCAATATTCTCCAGGCAATCCGATTTACGACTTTTTTCTGGGACGGGAGCTCAACCCTCGAATCTGTTTCTTTGACTTCAAATATTTCTGTGAACTGCGACCTGGCCTCATCGGCTGGGTATGTTGGGCTTGACTGAGCTGGCCTAAGGCCAGGGGGAGGGTTAGGGTGGGTGAGCAGCGCTTGGGCAGGGCAGGGCCAAAACTGTGCAGACACGAATCATTAATCATTCCTATTCCACAAACATATGTTAAATCCACCTGTGCCCTAGGCACTGCTCTAGGTACTGGGAGACAAAAATAAAGTTAGAGGCAAGAAAAACATCTTTGCCGCAGAGAGCCTACATTCTGGTGGGAAAGACTGACAAAAAATAAGTAAAGTATATATAGCATGTCAGGGATAACATCAGGAGAGCACGTGCAATTCTCAACAGCAGTCAAGCACAAAATCTATTTCCAGGGAGTGACCGCATGCTGCTTGGTGGTCAAAGCAGTGCACAACCTGAAATTGATCACTGGGTTTAGCAACCTACCCGTCACTGGTGGCCTTGACAACATTCCAACTGTGATCTCTGGTTCTGTGGCCAAGATGACCCAAAGAGACTCTTGGGCAAGGCCTCTCCTGTTGCCCTGGAAATTATCTTACCCGAGGCAGGAGTGCCAAGTGCCCACCCTGGATCTGGGCCCTGGCCTGACAACACTTTCTGAGGCCACTTTCTCATCTGTGAAATGGGATAAAATTAAAGCTTTCTCCTAAGATTACTGGGAAGATTAGAAGAGGTAATCTGTATGACAGAACAGAGCTCAGTGTAAAATGCAGGCACCCAGCACAGGGTTGCTCTGGCTAGCCACCATTGAGCACGTACCACTTGCTAGGGACGCTGTGGAGGACTTCAAACACAATGATGCCATTGAGTCATGACAGGCCCATGATTATTCCCATTTTTCACACAGGGGTGGGGAAAGTAGGCTATGGAGAGGGCAAGCAACCTGCCCAGGTGATGCTGAGATTTGAAACCAGGTCTGTTTGAGCTCTGAAGCCTCAGCCCCCAACTGCTCCCAGGGCTACTCTGCAAGAGCTTAGGACAGACAAGGCAAGAAGAAACAAGCTGCGGACACCTCCCTGTCTACAGTCTCTGTCCTTGGGTCCAAGGCCTGGATCCACTTAACAAAGGGTTAGAGTGTAACTGACAGCTGAGAAGGGCAGAGGTTAGCCATTGCTCTGCCCAGGGCTGCCACCTCTGTGGAGACGATTGCCCTGTTCCCCCTCCCCCAGGTCCTCATCAACCTGGCCCTGTTGGTGAAGGAGGCAGAACTTCGGGGCAGTCCCTCACTGGCCATGTGGCTGGTCAATGGCTTCCAGTTACTCTATGTGGGTGATGCCCTCTGGCATGAGGTGAGGCTGGACTGGACAAGGGTGGGTGTCTGAGGGCCGCATGGGGACTAAGCCAGTGTGTCTGGGTCTTGTCCTTGCAGGAGGCCATCCTCACCACCATGGATATCACACATGACGGGTTTGGCTTCATGCTGGCATTTGGGGACATAGCCTGGGTGCCCTTCACCTACAGCCTGCAAGCCCAGTTCCTGCTGCGCCACCCGCAGCCCCTGGGGTTGCCCATGGCTTCCGCCATCTGCCTCATCAATGGTCAGTCAGGAAGGGACAGCAGGCTGGGCCCATCTTTCCCCTCCTTTTCATTCATGCTCTGTTTACATACACACCACACAGGTGCTAACCGCCAGGGTCCTCTCTAAAGCCAGGGGTGGGGTCCTGGGTGTCCAGGCAGAGTCTGGGCTGCAGACAGGTTGGGCAGATGGTCAGGGTCAGGCAGGAGGCTGCAACCCTTGACCCTGACCACTTGTTCACACTCTCTCACCAGCTATTGGTTACTACATCTTCCGTGGGGCGAATTCCCAGAAAAACACTTTCCGAAAGAATCCTTCTGACCCCAGAGTGGCTGGTGAGCTGGGTCTCTAGGGCCATGGGTGAGGTGGGGCCACTGGGCTTCCTGGGAACTCCCCACCTGCTGTCTTTCTCCAGGGCTTGAGACCATCTCTACAGCCACAGGGCGGAAACTGCTGGTGTCTGGGTGGTGGGGTATGGTCCGCCATCCCAACTACCTTGGAGACCTCATCATGGCTCTGGCTTGGTCCTTGCCCTGCGGTGAGTGGCCCATGTGGATAGGGGCAGGAACATATGAGGGGAAGGGGTGGCTCAGCGACCACAGGATGCCTACTTTGGGTATGCACCAGTGAGAGTAGTCAGAGAGCTGGGATGGACCCAGTGTGTGGCTGGGGCCCACCTCTGTGCCAGCCTAGTACGGTATGCCTAGATGCAGACCCTGGAGCTTTTGCTGCTGAGCCCTGATGCCCACAGGAGCCATTAGGTGTGGAAATGTTTGCGAACTGAGGGATGGAGGGGGCTGGCAGGGTGGTCACAGAGCCTCCTTCTCTACAGGGGTGTCACACCTGCTGCCCTACTTCTACCTCCTCTACTTCACCGCGCTGCTGGTGCACCGTGAGGCCCGGGATGAGCGGCAGTGCCTGCAGAAGTACGGCCTGGCCTGGCAGGAGTACTGCCGGCGTGTGCCTTACCGCATCGTGCCCTACATCTACTGAAGCGGCTCCACCACCCCAGGTGGGGGCATATGCCCACTCATCCACCAGCACACCCAGGACCAGGAGCCTGGACACACTTGGGACTCAAGGGCTTGTACCCCACCCAGCCCTGAGGATGAACAGCCTCAGAGAAGAGGTGGTTTAGAGCAAGGAAAAAAATGAAACCAGTGACCAAAATCGGAGATGCTCTTCCTCCTTTGGATAAACATTGGGAACCCTTGGTGCACTTCTCTCCCCTAGGACTGGCTAAGTCAGCACTGATCAGGGAGAAGCTGAGCAGTGGCTTGTGGGCCCAGGAATCTGGGGGCCTGGTAGGACAATAGCTATCCTTCAGAAACAGGCAACAGGGCTGACCAGTCACAGCTTTATTAATGACCAGGGTCCCCAGTTCAGCCAGGGAGCTCCTCAATGAGAGTCCTTGGGGCAGGTGGCACGGGGCCTCCCCAAAGCCGCTCCAGCTCCCCAGTGAGGGCGGCCACCTCCTCGGCTGCCACAGCATGGGCTTGGTGAGCCCTGGCGCAATCTAGAGCCAGGGGTGTGAGGGCCGCCTCATTTTCATTGGTCCAGGCCAGGAGGAATTGGCACTTTTTTCGGGCCCGGTAAAGATGATCTCGCTCTTCTCTAACCACAGCCTGTTTCCGGGCACGGCCCAGGGTCTTTGCCAGGTCTCCCAGTGCTGCCAGCGTGTAGCCTTTCTGGTTGGTCGGGCCCTCACCCAGCAGGATGCGGGCAACCTCGTGCATAGCCCCTCGTGTGCCCAGGGGCCCAGGCGGGTGCTCGCCTGCTTCCAGCACGTGGGCTGCGGCCTGCAGGGCTTCTTCCACAGAGGCGAAGACTTGCTGGGCACCCAGGGCTCCGGAAACGCCGAGCAGTGTAGCACAGAAGTCAGAGAGCAGTGCGTCGTCACCGCCGTGATACAGGGCGAGAGTATGCGCGTAGGCGAACAGCACATTGGGCAGCTGGAAGCGCACGAGCGGCGACACTGGACCGCGGTTCAGGCTGACCAGCGTGGGGATGCGGGTGGGTATGGCGGGCGTGCAGGCCCCCGGGACATCTCCAAGAACCAGCTCGGCAGCCGCGAGCTCCGCGGCGAAGGCATCTTTCATAGATTCCGGCGGGGTCCTCGCAAGGGCGGGCTCCAGCCCCGCGGCATCACTGCCCGGGGCATCATCCAACTCCTCCAGAAGCCGCCGCGGTCCGGCTCCGCGCTTCCACCACCACGGCCGCCATGGAGGCAGCAGCCGCCCGGCCTCACCACGGCTCAGCAGCCGCTCGAAGGCAGTTTTTTCGGCCGGCGCCAGCCGCTCCCACAGTCCCGAGAGGCCGCCGGGCGCCGGGCCGGGGCTAAGGCCTGTTTCCCCAGGCTCGTCCTCGGTATCGCGTTGCTGACGCAGCCGGCGTAGGGCGCTTGCCAGGCGGCTGGGCGAGGCGCTGCGGCCGCGGAGCTCTCCCAGCACCTGGTCACGGTAGAAGTTTTCTGCGCAGGTGCCATGCGTCCGGTAGCAGCGCAGCGAGCAATAGGGCGCATTACAGCGAGGGCAGGTGTAACGCGCGGGCTGGGCCTCCCCCGCTGGGCAGAAACCACAAGGCCCGACCGGCTCCATAGCAACTGTCACTGCGATATACCTGCTAACGCACGCCGGCGGTAGTTCCAAACTTCCGGGGCTTATTCAATTACTTCCGGCTCACCGCGGGGTCGACGACGGTCCGTCGTTTCGCAAAGCTCCCGAGGATTCTGAGCAATTTCCGCCCACGCCCGAAGGCCGAGCCCCACCCCTTTCCCTAGTAGAGTGAGAGCAGGCCCAGACGCCGGGCGTCAGGTACGAGCCCCGCCCTGTGCGATGACGCAAGGAGCGGAAAAATGGGTCTGGCGAGCGCTCCGCCGGTGCCACCTCTCCCCCTAGCGGTCACACCAAAACGTGGCCCGATCATCTGAACAGAAAACCCTCTCTCTTTAGCACTATAATGCGCTGTAGCAGAAATCCTTTACTAAGCACCTACCCTGGGCCAAGCCTCAGAAAGGGGATGCATCCCTGCGCTGTACACAGACAAATAAAATGCACTAGGGGACACAGAAGAATAAAAGGGCAGTCGGGATCGGGTGCGGTGGCTCTCACGCCGGTAATCCCAGCACTTTGGGAGGCCAAGGCGGGCAGATGACCTGAGGTCGGGAGTTTGACCACGGCCTGACTAACATGGAGAAACCCCATCTCTACTAATACAAAATTAGCCGGGCGTGGGGGACGGGTGCCTGTAGTCCCAGCTACTCCGGAGGCTGAGGCAGGAGAATCATTTGAACCCAGGAGGTGGAGGATGCAGTGAGCCGAGATCGCGCCACCGCCCTCCAGCCTGGGAGCCTGGGCCACAGAGAGGAACTCCACCTCAAAAAAACAAATAAAAAGCAGTATTTAAGAAATATTTGAGCTCCTATTTTTTTTTCCTCCAAAACTGACTCTTCATTAGTGTCTTCTCATTAAATACCACTATTCATCCATCTCATTAAGTGCAGGCCCCATTCTAGGTGCCAAGAACACAATGCACATCAAAGGGAGTCGGGGGTCCCTGTTCTAACAGAGCTCATTCTTGTGGTGGAGTGGAGGTGTGATGAACCAAACTGTGAGTGTTCTTTGCATCCCTACTACTACTACTGGTGGTCTAAGCTTCCTGACCCCTCACGTGGATGACAACACATTGTGTTTTTCCTTTCTTGCCACCCTCCAGAAAAACCTGCCAGAGAAATTAGATCACAAGTCAGATCAGATCCTTCTCTTACTCAAAACCCTTCTGCGACCCTCCATTGCACTTGGACTCAAACCCAAACTCCTCTCCATGGCTGACAAGGCCTTGCAGGATCTGCTCCCACCCCTAGACATCACCTCTTCCCCATCTTCATACAGTCCTCTTGGCTTAAAAATATTCCCCTACCTGATCACTTATTTATTCATCTCAGGTCTCACACATGTCATTTAAACATGACCTCTCAGTTGGGCACAGTGGCTGACACCTGTACTCTCAGCACTTTGGGAGGCCAAGGTGGGCGGATCACTTGAGCCCAGTTCAAGACCAGCCTGGGCAACACAGGAACAAAACCCCGTCTCTATAAGAAGTACAAAAACTTAGCCAGGTGTGGTGGTGCATGCCTGCAGTCCTCAGCTACTTGGGAGGCTGAGTAGGATCACCTGGGCCCAGGACTTGGAGGCTGCAGTGAGCCATGACTATGTGACTGCACTCCAGCCTGGATGAGAGACCTTGACTCAAAAAGAAAAAAGGCCAGGTGCTGTGGCTCACACCTGTAATCCTAGCACTTTGGGAGGCCGAGGCGGGTGATCACAATGTCAAGAGATCGAGACCATCCCGGCCAACATAGGGAAAACCCATCTCTACTAAAAATACAAAAAATTAGGTAGGCATGGTGGCACATGCCTGTAGTCCCAGCTACTCCGGGGGCTGAGGCAGAAGAATGGTGTGAACCCAGGAGGTTGGAGACTCTGTCTCAATAAAAAAGAAAATAAAGAAAAAAGAAAAACAAAAAAGAGGCCCTCTCTGGGATGCTATTCTATCTGTCCACATCCTCCCCCTTTCTAAACTGCTAGAAAGCAGAAAGCATGTCTTTAACACCACGAGACAAAAATAGCCAAGATTCTCACACTACATCCTTTAACCCTCACAGCAGCTCTGGAGATGGCAGAGATTAAATTAGTAGTTCAAAGGCCAGTCACCCAGTAAATGGATTAGGAAAAAAAAGAAGGTCCAAACTCAGGCATTCAAAGTCCACAGCCCAAGGGTTTTACCCTGTTGGATGCTATTTCCCAAGAACTGGCAGGTCCAGAAACTTTAGCTGAATGAGTAAGGCTCAGTTGCTAGAAGGGAACCCTGAATCAGCCCCAGAGATAATCCAACTTTTGGGAACACCGAAACATCACTATATCCAATCACAGATGTGATTAGGTTACCAAGTCTAGCCAGGCAATCATAGAGGTACAAACGAGACCATGCACCCAACGTAATATTTATTTCTAAAACCGAGGCAGACCAGATTCCTGCCCTGGACTCTAAGGCCACAGCTGGTACCAAGTTCAGGGAATGACCAGGTTCACCTTCTATACAAACCTCTTCCCCCACCCAGCCCTTCCATTGCTGCCTCCATAACAAACGTCTCACCACAATGATTCCTGCTACCTTCTCTGTTTAGAAGATGAAAAAGAATGACTTGAGGGGACTGATCAAGTTACTTAGGATAGGGAATAACTCCAATTCTACACCTGAAGCCCCAGGATCTGTGGCTACTGTTTCTTCACAGAAAATTTCTCTTGCAGTTTACTATTTCTTCCCCCATACCAAGGGCTTTTCTGCCTCACTGTTCTTAGTGGGGACACAGCACCAACCTCTCCCTGAGGCCTTGCAAATAAAGATGAAGCAATGCAATGACTGAACTAAGTGGCTTTTTTATTAGAGAAAGCCGGAATTACAAAGGACTTAAGAATTGGCATTGGGGCCCTTCTTCTTGCCAAAGGTGGGCACAACGTTGACAAAGCGCCGGTTGTACTGCATCCGGCGCTTAGCCCGACCGGTCTTCTTCTTCTTCTTCTCCTGTTTGGCCACCTGAAGAAGGGAGGGTTAATCAGGCCCTGGTTTCTGTCTTCCACACCTAGCATCCTTTCCCTCAGGCTCATCTCCAGGGAGGGAGAAGGCAAACCGGGTAAGAGCCCAGGGACTTGATTTAGCTGTGACAGGAAAAGACAAAGTCCAAACACCATGACCACTAATACTCTCACTCACCTTAGGAGTCTGACCTCTCACTTTCCCAGCACGGGCCAGGGAACCATGGACTTTACCTGTAATGGGAAAGGAAGGAACCAGCAGGTAAGAGCAAGAAGGTGCCACCCAGCAGAACCCCTCTTTCCTCAATTCAAGCCTTTAAAGAGAAGCTGGGCCCAACAGGTAATGAGAACAAAGCTGCAGACATCTGACCTTGAAATCTTAAGTTTCATTTCAGGATTTTCCAGCTTCTAACTTTCTAGAGCACTTTGGGGGCCCCGGTCTGACCTAATTTTAGTGGGGAAGCTGATAACCAGACTCGGATCTCGTGATGTGACAGAAACACAACTACACTCTGGCTCAGTCTCCCATGGACATCTGTGTTCAACATGAGGGATGTAAACAGGAAGAATCACTCTGAACTGAGGACAGTGAGAAGTACTCTATTACCATAGGTGTGACACTCAGCTGCCAGGACTATGCACCCCCCACCCACTAGACGCTTACCGGTAGTTCAAAGAACATTCTTCTCTCACTCACCTCCAAGCATGCGGCCTGCTACTTCCAGGGTAGTCAGGGCCTCCACCCCGCACTGGCCCAGAGTGGCCTCATCCTCCAAGGGGGTACCTGCCAGGAGCACGACTTGATCTTCCGGGGCAATGCCCTCCAGTGAAGCTACATGAGCCTACAGGGAAAGATAAGGCTCGTAAGTGTTCCCTCGGGCCGCGAGGGTGAAGAGCACAAGAAAATGGAACCCACGGCGCACCAAGCAGCCTTACCTTGATCTGGGCGACCGTTTCCTGGCCGGTCACCTCGAGGGTGTGTAGCTCCTGGGCGCGGACAAAGAGCTGCATGTTGACGACTGAGTAAAGAAAGACGGCTTGTAAGAGAAGCGAAGAAATGCTCTGGGATAAAGGAGGTTTGGGAATGGAAAGTGGTCCAGAAACGATAGCGACGGGATGGAGGTGGTCGCGGCGGCTCACGTGGGGAAGGCCAGGCCTCCCGAAGAATTCGGATAGGGACTGGAGCAGGGCCACAGAGCCGGCCCGGTTCTTCAGTTTCCCCCGCACCCTCTGACCCCGCAGCCAACCTGCTACAAGCCCTTCGGATCCAGCCAAGGCCCTATTCTTACCTGAACCGCGGTCCCAGCTGCCGCTAGCGCGAAGATGGAGTCGAGAAAGAGGAAGAAGCGAGGGCGCGTCTGTACAGAGCGCGAGCTGCGTATCTCGTCACTGCTGAGCGACCGCGCGGGTCTCTGATATTTGTACCGCCCAAGGCGACCCTAGCTCCGCCCCTTTACGCTCGCACAGGCTAGCCTGCCAGGGGCAGGGAGCACGCGCAGGAGGGGGCGGAACCAGACAGTTGCGTGCACAGACGGCTGGCGTACGAGGTCAAGATGGCCGTTACCATGTTCCGGGCTGCGCTTCGGGGATGGAGAACCGGTGTCCAGCGGGGCTGCGGGCTACGGCTGTTGGTGAGAGCGCTGAGCGAGGAGCTGAGGGCATCTTGTGGGTGTGAGGCTCAGTGTTAATCATTGTTAACCCCGAAAACTAAGGCATTCCTACTTGGGGCCTTAGTTTTGCCGTTTTCGATCGGAAGAGCTTGTCTCCGATCGAGTGTAGATACAGAAACGAGAGGGAAAGTGGTAGACTGCGGTGCTCTTTGGGAGCACTTAACACAGTGCCTGGCAGTGTCTATATAAGCCAAAACGTTTCAGATAAGGGGCGGGATCCTAGCATGAGTGTGCGTAGGGAATTATGATTGCCTTCTTTTTTTCTTTTTTCTTTTTTCTTTTTTTTTTTGAGACAGAGTCTCGTTCTGTTGCGCAGGCTGGAGTGCAGTGGCGCGATCTCGGCTTACTGCCAGCTCCGCCTCCCGGGTTCACGCCATCCTCCTGCCTCAACCTCCTGAGTAGCTGGGACTACAGGCGCCCGCCACCACGCCAGGCTAATTTTTTTTGTATTTTTAGTAGAGATGGGTTTCACCGTGTTAACCAGGATGGTCTCGATCTCCTGACCTCGCGATCCGCCCGCCTCGGCCTCCCAAAGTGCTGGGATTACAGGCGTGAGCCACCGCGCCCGGCTGATTGCCTTAATTGTTAAGGCAATCATAAGATTAAACACCACTATATCCAATCACAGATGTGATTAGGTGAGCAAGACCAGCCAGGCAATCATGAAGGTACAAACAAGGTTACGCTGCCAATGTAATAATAGCTATTTCTAAAACCGAGGCAGAAAGTTAAGCCTTAAGTTTCTAAAGACTTGATTGACTTTTCAGAAGTCTACACATACTCTTTTGAATCCCACCGAAATCCTCAGAGAGGCAGACCATTCAGAGTATCTGAGCCTCCTTTCCATCCCATCTGTACCCTGCACCGTGGAAAACCAAAGACTGGTGCTATCTTATGTCAACTTAAATAACAGACTCTAAAAGAAAATGATATTTATTCGGAAATGGGTGTAGACTATGTGCTTATCAGGGAGGTAAAAGAAGACAAAGGTTTTTAACGGAAAAATGGGCCAGGCACGGTGGCTCATGCCTGTAATCCCAGCACTTTGGGAGGCCAAGGCGGGTAGATCACCTGGAGTCAGGAGTTTGAGACTAGCCTGGCCAACATGGTGAAACCCGTCTCTACAAAAAATACAAAAATTAGCCGGGTGTGATGGCGTGTGCCTGTAGTCCCAGCTACTTGGGAGGCTGAGGCAGGAGACTTAACTTGAACTTGGGAGGCGGAGGTTGCCGTGAGCTGAGATCACGCCACTGCACTCCAGCCTAGGTGACAGAGTGAGATTCCGTCCCAAAAATAAAAAATAAAAATAAGTCAAAGGAAAGGAAAAAAGAGTATTACATAATTGCATTGAGATAGTTATCCTTGGCTACAAGGATGAATAACAAGGGTGGTGCCAGCTCAAGATTGGACAGGCAGTTGTTGGACAGGTGGCCTTGTAGAAATTTTTGTTTATTTTTGTTTTTTGAGAGAGTCTTGTCGCTCTGTCACCCAGGCTGCAGTGCAGTAGCATGATACCAGTTCACTGCAACTGCTGCTCCCTATGTTCAAGCAATTCTCCTGCCTCAGCCTCCCAAGTAGCTGGGATTACAGGCATGCACTACCATACCTGGCTAATTTTTGTATTTTTAGTAGAGACGGGGTTTCGCCATGTTGGCCAGGCTGGTGTTGAACTCCTGACTTCAGGTGATCCACCTGCCTCGGCCTCCCAAAGTGCTGGGATTACAGACGTGAGCCACCGTGCCCAGCCAGAAATACTTTTTTGTGTAAGGTTGCAGTGGCCTTTGTGCAAGTCTGTGGTTTTTGCAGTCTTTTGTGATAGTTCTTGTTATTAAGTATTTGTGCACAAGAACTCTTTTTTTTTTTTTTTGTCTTTTTTTTTTTTTTTTTCCTTTTTGTGGAGAACAGGGTCTCGCTATATTACCCAGGCAGGTCTCGAACTCCTGGGCTCAAGCTATCCTCCCACCTCTGCCTCCCTGAGAGCTGGGATTACAGGCGTGAGCCACCGTGCCCAGCCAAGAACTCTCTCTTCATGGCCCTCCCTAGCTTTGTTTGTTGGGATTTTTAACCCAAGTGACTCACTCCATTTTGATTCTGATAGCTTTCACACCGATCGCCCAGCCTTTTATTTATGCCATTCTCTCTGCCTGTAATGTTTCCATTCTCTACTTACTGAACTTATGCCATCCTGTGTTGTGTAGGCTAATGGAGAAATGGAATTTTTGTTTTGCTTCAGAGCCAGACCCAGGGCCCTCCAGATTACCCCAGCTTTGTGGAGTCTGTGGATGAATATCAGTTTGTGGAGCGCCTGTTACCAGCTACGAGGATCCCAGATCCCCCAAAACATGAACATTATCCTACCCCTAGTGGCTGGCAGCCTCCCAGAGGTGAGCTGGGTGGTTAGGGATGATTTGAAAACTTCACGGAGCATCACCTCTTCCCCAGAGGTTGGCCTCCCCCATGAGGCTCTGGACTCTTCAGTGGGTTCAGGACTTGTTTTGTGATCCCTATGGGTTACATCTGTCTCATGCCTGAGGAAGAGCCCAGGAATGGAGTCCTCTGTTGTTCACTGGTACTCATCCATCCACACTATTGGAATTGGGTCGTCCCCATATGGGGGAAAGTAAACAACAGAGAGAAAACCCAAGAGCTTGGACCTTCTTTCCCCCCAGGAGACTATGTCTATAATTAAGAACACAGCATGGAGTCAGGCAGTTCTGGGTTTGAATTTGGCTTTATTTACTGTTGATATTATCTTGAATTAGTCACTTAGCTTGACCCAATCTGTTTTAGCAAAATGGAGATGATCTGCTCAGTACCTAGAGCCCTTAGTGCAGAGCCCAGCATATGGTAGGTGCTCAGTGCTTGTAAATCCCAATCTCTTTGTTCCAGAGATTGCTTTCAGCCTCCCTGACCCAGTGGAGGAGGGCAAGGTTTGGCCTAGAGGGGGACCCAAAGATCCAGGGAGGCATGTCCCTGACTTCATGTTTTCTTGAGTACCTACTTAGTGACAGGCCTTGTGTGGGGCCTTAGGGTACCAGGGTGAACAATTTGGTCCTGACTCCAAGCTGAAGGAAAGAGGAGACCCCCTGACCTAAAGTCTGGAGGTGGCTTGGTCCAGCTGGGTGCATTTGCCCTCTGCAGACCGAGAGCAAGGACCTTGGCTGAGGTGGGATGGCACCTAGGAAGAGTTGATTTAACAGTGTCTTTCCTTGTCGCAGACCCCCCACCCAACCTGCCCTACTTTGTACGACGCTCTCGGATGCACAGTGTCCCTGTCTACAAGGACATCACGCATGGCAACCGGCAGATGACTGTGATCCGGAAAGTAGAAGGGGACATCTGGGTAAGTAGGTGGGTGGGTCTGGGGCTAGGCCTGACCCTTTCAGGGCTGGAGGGACAGGAGTCCTTTCAAGGGAAGGGACTCTTGGCCTGACCTGATTTGTCATCTTTCCCTAGGCCCTGCAGAAAGATGTGGAAGATTTTCTGAGCCCGCTGCTGGGGAAGACACCCGTCACCCAGGTCAATGAGGTGACAGGTACCCTGCGAATCAAGGGCTACTTTGACCAGGAGCTTAAAGCCTGGCTCTTGGAGAAAGGCTTCTGAGGCCTAGCTGAGGCCTGCATGTCACCCTTCCCTGCGGATCAAGTCTAGGGGGCCTCAGGAGGAGGGAGGTGGGTGTTGGAGCCCCTGAGACAGGGGATACAGAAACTAAGGCTAAAGGACTTTGGGGTCAGGCCTTGCTTGCATAAAGGAGAAAACTGGACCCTATGTACATGCTGGGGGAGAGTGCCTAATGTGGGAGACCAAATAGGAATAACCAGGCTAATGGGGGGTGTCAGCAGCTTTCTCTCCCTCCTATCTTGGCCTGTTGTTTTTTGTTTTTTGAGATGGAGTCTCACTCTGTTGCCCAGGATGGAGTGCAGTGGCATGATCTTGGTTCACTGCAACTTCCACCTCTGGGTTCAAGCAGTTCTCCTGCCTCAGCCTCCTGAGTAGCTGGGATTACAGGCATCCGCCACCATAACCTGCTAATTTTTGTATTTTTAGTAAAGATGAGGTTTCACCATGTTGGCCAGGCTGCTCTCAAATTCCTGACTCCAAGTGATCCGCCCACCTCGGCCTCCCAAAGTGCTGGGATTATAGGCGTGAGCCATGTGCCCTGCCCACTTTGGCCTGTTTTGTTTTCCTTTCCTTGGGCTCAGCAATTCAAATTCTAGTTGTTATTTGGTGGAAGCAGTAGCCCAACCTAGTCTAGGGGAAGGTAGCACAGGGCAGAGCCACTGGGCACTTTGTTCCCTTGGCCCTCCAAAGCTCATTGTTGCAAACGTCCCCAAGCCCTTGCTCTAGGCCAGATCTTGTTTGGTACAGGCTATGAACACAGATGACTCGGGCATGGGGCTTGGAGATCTTCTGTTCGAAGTCAGGCCCATTCTTGGTCACTGTTCCATTGCAGACCAGACTTGCTGGCCTGACCACAAGGGAGTGGCTGGGAACTCCTCACAGCCAGCATAGGGCCATCCTCCCCAGCCTGCTGACCTGGAATCAAGGCTGGGGAGGGGTTTGCAGGCAGGAATATGCTGACCTTTCACCCTGCCATCTCATCCCAACCTCAGCTCACTAGCCTTCATTGGAGTCACGGGGCCAAAGGCCTGAGACCCCACCCTACCCCCAAACTGGCTAAGACAGCTCCCAGTTCCTGGCTCCCCAACTTGGTCTCTGCCCTGAGGCAGGGCACTGAACTCTGGGCTGCTTTTCCATGTGTAAAATGGGCACTTCTTCCTAATCTGTTAATGGTCAATGGTGTCCCCAAGGATAGTGCTGGCTTCCATGGAAACCCTAACTCCTGGAGATTCCATTCCATTCTCAAGTGTACAGCCACAGCAAGGAGCCCGACACTGATTTTATTGATTCCATGAGACAAACCCCACTAACTGTTAATGCAAGTTTTTATTTGGTTGTATATACAATTTAAGCTATTAAAATTTGTACAATATTTACAAATTAAATAATCATCTGAAACTGTCTCCAACAACTCTTGTAACACAAAACCAAGACAGGGGCAGGCAGGTCCCAGCTCCTGTGGTCCCTCCTTGGTACAGAGCCTTTTCTAAACTGGAAAGACCTTCGTCTTTCCCGGGATTAAGCATTCAACTTCAAAAGACAAAATTTAAGCCAAAAGACACTAGTAAGGAAGTAATTCCAATTCTAAACTCCGGAAGTTCTGCCAGTTGAGAAGTGGCCTTCCTTGGGCGCTGGGATTGCAGTGGTCAGGAGCAGGCACACTGGCCCTTGCCTGGAGTGTGGCTGGGCAGTGGCTGCTGGGTGAGACAGGTCAGTCTCACCTGAGAAGCTGCAGGGGAAAGGGGCCTGGGGGGAGGGGCGGGGCAGGGTCCCTCAGTGCTGCCCGCCTGCCCCCCCCACTCCCAGGCATTCCTTTCCCTGAGTTGTGTGGTTGCCAGTAAGACGCAGAAATGCCACAGGGCATAGGGGGCACAGCCACCACCACAAGAGGCTGCTGGGGAGATCAGGGTAAGAAAAGGAAATGGGTGGGTAAGAAAAGGAAATGGGTACCAGTCTTAGGGGTGGGCCAGGGAGCAAGTTCATAGCTTGCGTCCAGCCCCTCTGGAGTCCACACTTGGGAACGGGAGCTAATACTGTTCGGCACTGCAGTGTGACTCCACACGTACAAGTAGGGCTCAGAGGGGCTGCCCCTTCTCCCAGAAAGGGGGAGGGGAAGAAGAGGGCTTCTCAGAGGCTCAACCTTCTGCCTTCATGGCCCCAGCAGAACACAGGGCTGAAGAGTTGGAGAGGAAGGCTGGAACTGACCCGAGATCCCCATGGCTGCCTGGGACTCTGAGAGCTGGAGTCAAATGGGAACCCCAGCCTCTTTCCACTTGGCCTAGGGGATGCCGCCTCTTTCTCAGAGCTGGGGGTACTACTCCCTGCTGCAGACAGAGAGGGAGCTGGCACTTGGTGGCAGGATGTGTTCCAGCGAGGGCTGCTCAAAAGAGCAGGGGCTGGGGCTGGGCTGGGGCAGTGTCAGTGGGCAACAGGAGACTCCAGCTTTTGCAGGCGGCGCCGGCGGAGCTCTGCTGCATCAGGCTCTCCATCCTCGGGCATCTCCTCTGTGCCCACTGACTCAGGAGCTGGGGACAGAGAGACTGGAAGTGGAACCTAGAGAAGTTCCCTGCTCCCCTGGCTGGAGGCCAATCACACCTACCTGGAGGCCTTTCCGTTTCAGGGGCTGTTGGGGAGGCTCCTGTGGTTGGGGTCGTGGCCTCTGAGCTGGGGATGCTGGTGGAGGAGGCAGCAGCAATAACTGTAGTGGCAGTCTCCTCAGGGGAGCTGACTGAAGTGGCAGGCCGAGGGGGCCTGGGAAGAGAAGGGACGAGAGGCGGGTCTGGCCTTGGCATCCTAGGTTGGGCAGATTCTCCTGCCCTTGGTGAGCCTTGCAGAACAGAGTATAGAATGATGTGCCCTTGTGGCCCCAGTGCCTGGCAAACACAAGTGAACATGCTGAATGAACTCAGACAGGGTGACTTGACTCAAGGGCCAAGTGATTCTATCCCTTAACTGTAAGGTGCTTGCAGGCAGGGACTGTTGACCTATTCACTCTTACCCTGCAGTCTCCACCCTGGGGAGTCAGGCACCTTATAGGGGACCCACTGAATAAGCCACAGTGCTCAAGCCTTGGACTCAAGTTCCTCTCCGAGCCTGTGCTGTCACTGCTAGATGCCAGGCATTATGTACATGTCACTTTTTTAAAAGACAGGGTCTCGGCCGGGCGCGGTGGCTCAAGCCTGTAATCCCAGCACTTTGGGAGGCCGAGATGGGCGGATCACGAGGTCAGGAGATCGAGACCATCCTGGCTAACATGGTGAAACCCCGTCTCTACTAAAAAAATACAAAAAACTAGCCGGGCGAGGTAGCGGGCGCCTGTAGTCCCAGCTACATGGGAGGCTGAGGCAGGAGAATGGCGTGAACCCGGGAGGCGGAGCTTGCAGTGAGCTGAGATCTGGCCACTGCACTCCAGCCCCCAGCGACAGAGCGAGACTTCGTCTCAAAAAAAAAAAAAAAAAAAAAAAAGACACGGTCTCGGCTTCATCACCAAAGCTGGAATTTAGTGGCACAATCATAGCTCACGCGGCGCGGTGGCTCACGCCTGTAATCCCAGCACTTTGGGAGGCCGAGGCGGGGCGGATCACAAGGTCAGGAGATCGAGACCATGGTGAAACCCCGTCTCTATTAAAAAATAGAAAAAAATTAGCCGGGCGCAGTGGTGGCGCCTGTAGTCCCAGCTACTCGGGAGGCTGAGGCAGGAGAATGGCGTGAACCCGAGGCCGGAGCTTGCAGTGAGCGAGATTGCGCCACTGCACTCCAGCCTGGGCGACAGAGCGAGACTCCGTCTCAAAAAAAAAAAAAAAAAAAAAAAAAAAAACAATCATAGCTCACTGCACCCGCCAAACTCCTAGGCTCAAAAAAAAAAAAAAAAAAAAAAAAAGACACGGTCTCGGCTTCATCACCAAAGCTGGAATTTAGTGGCACAATCATAGCTCACTGCACCCTTAAACTCCTAGGCTCAAACAGTCCTGCCTCAGCCTCCCAAAGTGCTGAGATTACAGGTGTGAGCCACCGCATTGGCAGTAGATATCACTTACGAATATGAATTAAGACCCCTTTATTCAAATAACATTAAGAGGTCAAAAACAAGTGAGTGATGGGACCAGCGCTTGAACTTGGGCCAGGATGGCTCCAAGTGACTTCCTATTATTTGCTCCCTCAGTTTGGGGGCAGCAATTGTCAATCTAAGTGTCACTACATCTCAGGAGACTATCATGTGATGAACTAAAGCACTGCAAATTCTGAATAATTTGACTTTAGAGAAATAAAAAGGAGTAAGATCCAGCCGGGCGCGGTGGCTCAAGCCTGTAATCCCAGCACTTTGGGAGGCCGAGACGGGCGGATCACGAGGTCAGGAGATCGAGACCATCCTGGCTAACCCAGTGAAACCCCGTCTCTACTAAAAAATACAAAAAAAGGCCAAGAACCACTGCTGGGGACCTCCTGGCAGCTCCACTCCTGACCCACCAAACCCACTCTGCTTCCCCTGTACAGACACACCCCAAGGAGGCCAGCACAGTGAGGTACTGGTTGATCTGCAGCATGGCGGCGTCCAGCAGTGTGTGGATGTTACGCAGGCTCTGCAGCCGGGCCTCCAGGTGCTGCCGTTCATGGCCCTCCAGAGCTCGTAGCTCCTCTGGGGTCAGCCCAGCAAACCCCGCAGGGGGCACAGGCATCGGGGGGAAGGCTGTAGAGAGAGAGAAAGGCTCAGTCTGGGCTGCTGGGGCCAGACACCAACCTCACCCCCTAGAAGAACCCAGAGTGGCCCAGCTTACCAAAGGGCGGAGGCAGGGGCATACCCATCCAGGGAGGAGGGAAGGGGAAGCCAGGGGCAGGGCCAGCTTCTGGGGCAGAGCCAGAGCCTGGGCCAGATGCTGTGGCAGAAGCAGCAGCAGCACTGGTGCCAGCAGCTGTGGTTGTAGCTGCTCCACTGGGCCGAGAAAGGGCTGCTGAAGAGCAGGAACAAGTCAGTGAGTGTTCTATCCCTGCCACCCCCTGGCTGTCACAGTACCCAAAGGCTCACCTGCACTGGTGGATGGAGGGACCACAGCCTCTCCTGAGCTGGGGGGAGGCGGGACAGGTGGAAAGGGGCCCATGGGGGGCCACAGTGGGAACATGCCTGGAGGAAAAGGAGGCAGGAGGCCCTGGGGGACTGCAGAGAGAAGACAGGGAGGTAAGAAAAGGGCCAAATGGACACAGACCCAACTCCCAGGCAGGGGGCCTGACTATTGCAAGCTCTGTCCTATTCCCACAGGCCCTGAGCCCAGCACTGGTCACACTGACTGCAAGCATCTATTTCTCATCTTTCCATCCCTTCCTGGCCCAGACTGAGATTCTGGAGGGCAGGGACTCTCCAATTTCCCAGCATCTTCCATACCCAGTCCAGGGCAAGTACCCAGCGGTGTGCTGGGTGGTCAGACAAGGGGACACTCACAGTTGGGGGGCTGAGGCAAGAGGGGGGGGGGGTGGGGCGCAGGGGGTGGCCCCTGATCCGCAGGCTCCGGGGGTGGTGGTGACTGGGCTGGCAGCGATGCCCGAAGGACATCCATACGGCAGGTGGGGCAGGTCTGCTGCCGCTGGAACCAGGAGCGCAGGCAGCTGCGGGTCAAGGCCAGCCAGAGGTCAGCAGGTCCCTAGGGGCCTGCCTTCTGGGGCCTGTGCCCCGCTGTGTAGGCTCCCCAGGGCCCCTCCCACCTGGTATGGAAAATGTGGTTGCAAGGCAGTCTCTTGGCACCAGTCACCATCTCTTCTCGGCAGATGATGCAGACATTGTCCATTGCCTGGAGCTCCTCTGGGGTGGCATCTGGATACCTGGTTAGGATGACGGGCTGTATCAGATCCAGAGCTGGAAGCAGAGGGACCCAGGACACAGCTTGGGACAGCAGCCATGACAAGCCTACTTACAGGGTGTTCATGTTGCGGATGGCTCGGCGAGACATGATGGCATCTGTCACAGCTTTTTTGAACTGTCTGAAAGGACAGTCAGTGAAAGCAGGAGAAGGGACGGGATCGGGTTGGGAGGATCGGGGGATAGGGCTGGGCTCACCTCATGGCCAGGTACATGGGCCGGATGGCAAAGAGTGGGAAGGTGTGCACCTTGATCATGATGGTCATGAAGGCCATGTACAGCAGAACCTTGATGAAGCCTGCGGGGAGGGGATGCAGAAAGCAGCAGGTCACAGGGCCAGGAGGCAGAGTGGAGTATGCTGGTCCAGATCAGGAGAGGCCCAGGCCCCTCTCACCTGTAAACAGCTCTGTGTAGAGCATGTACACAGCCTTGTTGTCCCAGGGGTTCTCACTCTGGAGGTCCACGGAGTGCAGCACATACTTGATGAAGATGGTGAGCACCATCGTCATCAGGATGGCATACTGAAGGGAGAGGGGGACGAGGGGGACGAGGGGGATGTGAACACACAGCTCCCCCTTGCTGCACCCACACTGCTCCCCCGAGCCTCTGCACAGCAGGTGCAGTGGTACAATCACAGGCTGTAGACACACCCGGGGTCCTCCTAGCCCCTCCACTTACTAGCTGTGACTTTTGGCAACTCAACGAACCTATATTAACTTATCTATAAAATGACAGAATTAACTGTTCCTTTATAACAGTATTGTCTTGCTAAATAAGAGATGCAGGTCAGGAGCTCAGCACAGGGCCTGGTGTGAAATTCGCATTCAACAAATACGAGCTGTTGTCACTGAACACATTCTCCCTCTGCCAGGGACACGCCTCCAATTGTCCATTGAGCTAATCCTCTCCTGTCCATTACCAGCTAGCTCTGGCACAAGCCTCTAGGAACCCTCTCCTGAGCCCCAGGTTGGGGTTCCTCCTCTGTCCTAGGCTCTTTGTGCTCTTCCCCAATCACCTAGGAGTGAGTGTGTGGAGGGCAGGAGCCATATCTGATCACTGCCCCTTGGTGGCCAGCACAGGTTGGCCACATAGCAGGTGCTGAGGAAGGGTCTGTTGGGTTATTCAAAGCGCATGTGGGGTCACCTCGGGCTTGTCTTCTCAACCTCCCAAGCCAGTTTTACCTCAAAGCCAAACACCAGCTGCACAGAAGCCCCACGGGTCAGGATGCTGTGATAGGCATGGCTGACGAAGAGGAAGTCCAGGATGCCCAGAAGGAACATGAGAGCTGTGGGGACCCCCATACATGCGGGGTAGGGGAGGTCAGCCCAGGGCCCAACAGCTATTTAATGATCTACGACAGCCCCACCCTCCAGCCTACCATGGCCCCAGTGATCTAGTCAGGTGGGCACACTCCACTGAACCTGGCCCTCTGGGAACTTCCTGGGGGAGGGGGAGTCGTTGGGGCTGCCCAGGCTGCAGGTGAGAAGGCAAAGGGCTGAGGGCCCAGGCAGTTGAGAAGCCCTGGAGTGGAACAGGACAGAGACTATGCAAATTAACTTCCTAAATTATCTTTCCTGTACAGCTGTGGGGGGCGGCCTGTGCTCCAGAGTACAGGCCCACTGTTCACATTCCACTCCTCCCCTCCCTTCCCCTGAATCTCACTCACAGACAATGCGGCAGTGAAAGAGCCAGGAGATGTTGGGGCTGCGTTCCATCTGAGGCAGAGCACACAAGAGGCCTGTCAGGAAGCCTGGGGCTCACCCCACATCCTCAACCCAGCCCTCCCTGCTCTTTAAGCCTGCCCGCTGGCCACTCCCTGGCTTCCACCTGCTTCAGAACTCCCTTCCTTGACTCACAAAGTCCACACGATCCTCAGCCAGCCAGTGGAAACATTTGAGGAAGAGAAGAAGAGTGAAGAGTGCAACAAAGCGGGGGCTGAAGTCATCCCGAAAAACGGTGAAGGCCAGACAAGTCTCTGTGACAGCATACCAGGAACGTTCCAGAAGGTGCTGGGGGCCAGGCAGGGAATAATGTGGATCCCAAACATTCTTTCCCAGCACCCTGCCCTCACCTTTGGGGCAACCGACATCTTACCTCCATCTCTGCTGCCCTCAGTTGCCCAAAGAACACCTTGCCCATCACCTTGCCCAGGAGGAAGACAAGGACAAAGGCCTGGATGTACAGGACCTAGGAGTGGGGAGAGGCTATGGTTTGAGGTCACTTTCCGCTTTCCTCTGCTTGGGACTCATCATTCGGGATCCTCCACATCCTAATCACAGTTTATTCAAAGTTAGACAGCTGGCGGCTACTTCCCTACTTACCTGACCTCTAGCCCCGCCCCTGGCCCAGGCAGACTCCTCCTTCCCTCCCAGGGAGTTCCTCCCTCCCTGAGCCCTGAACTCACTGCCATGCTGGGGCTGGACTTGGTCAGGTACACCACAGTGGGGTAGAACTGGTGTTTGAGGTAGTAGGCGTGAGCCACCACAGCCCCGGTCAGCGCCAGGCTGGCCGCCATCATCACTGCCGTGCGGAACATTGCCCTGGCCCGGAGACCTAAATGGGGCAAGAAAATAACTTATGTGATGCGCCTGCTGTGCAAAATAGCACGGTGCCTGGCACAGCCTTAATCAATAGGAGAAAGCGGGGAGAGGGGGGAATCACATTTCGCCCTCGAAATCATCAGACCAAGAATAGCTTACTCTTCCCCATTTCACAAATAAGCCTCGAAGGGGTTAAGTGATCACACTGACGCAAGGCCTGGAACCTGGGTCAGTCTTGTTTCAAATCTAGGGCTCTTTCCACGCTGACTGCCAAGCCGCCTCCTCTAGGGAGGAGATGAGGAAAAGCTGCAGTGTTGGAGGAGGGGGAGCTGCACCGCTGACCCTCCGGTGGAGGAGATGGGGTGGGAGGCAACAGCAGAAATCTGCTCCAGGGGCGGGAACGCGCGGCCAGGGCTGAGCAGCCAAGGCAAAGAGGGTAGCAGACTGGGCAGGCGACAGCGCCGGTGACAGCTGTGTTAGGGTGGGCAGTTCGGACGCGCGCCCCGCGGGAGCGGGCGGGGAACGTCAGCCTGGAATCCTGGGGTCCCCCGACCATCGGAGTAGTGTCAACTCAGGGCACCACAAGAACGGCCGACCGGCAGAGAGCAGCAGCGGGACGGGAGGAGCCGGGTCGCCCTCGCGGCCGCGCACCTGTGAGCACTAGGAGTTGCGGACGTCGCAGGCAGGGCCCAGGCTTGAGCAGAGCGCCCGCACCGGCGTCTGAGGTCTCCAGCCAGCTGACAGGCCGAAAGCGGGCGGCGGGGCTGAGGGCCGCGCCCACTCCGGAGCCCTCAAGGGGAAGGTTCGGGTCCCGACCCCAACCACAACTCGGGCCAGACTTCGCCCCACTCACCAGGAACGCAGCGCCGCGAGCCCGCTCAATCCGCGCGACTGCGGCGGCCGCTCCGGTTAACAACACTCCCCACCCCCTGCGAACCGGAACTTCGGGGGTCAGACACCTCACTTCCGGCGGCGCGGGGCGCGGCGTGGGTCATACCAAATGCGTCCTGCCCTGGCTCGCACTGCGCCCTACGTGGGTCCATAGCAATGGTGTCACCACCGTATCTGGGGCTCGTGTCTACGGGGAAGGGCTGGGCAAGAGGTCCGAGAGGTGGTCAGAAGGTAATAGAGCAACAGTGGGACGTTGTGGGGGGGGGTCCCCCTATTATTTATTAGTCACAGATGGTATGGCCCCTGCGCTGAGTGGCCTCCGCCTAGTCGGGGACTCGGCCCCGCGAGGGGCTGGGAGGTGGAGCCGCCTGCGGGCTGTACCACCTGGAGGGGGGAGTAGGCCAGGGACAGACTGTACAAGCCTAAGGGGAATGAAATGTTTAAAAGCCTCAATTTAGGGAGAGTCACAACAGTTTGACAAATACGGTGCTCTCTGAGAGAACTGGATGCGGAAAACAAAAATTTGTCTTCTCCATGATCACCCCCCAAGTTGTGTGGGAGTGAGTTGGGTCCCGTGGCTGCCACTGATTGGTTGCGATAAGTTACGCGGACCAATAAGAAAAAGAAAGTACCTTTACTGGCCTATAGAAAGGGGAAAGCAGGTGAGTGGTTGTTAGGGGCGGACAGCTGCGTTGCCTAGGCCCAGGTCCCGCTCCAGTTGGCTGAAGAGTAGGGAAAGCGCAGTCCTTGGGCGGGTGATCCCTGGCTGGCCTCCGGGGACGTTTGCCGCGCCAGGACAGGGAGGGGCAGCCAGGTGTACCCGAGACTAGGAGATTAATTCCTGCTAATCTTGGGACGGAAGTGTTCTGTTTGTGCAAAGGAATTGACTTCAGCATCGCAGACCTGCCCCCATCTCAGGTTCTGGTTTTGCTGTCCGTGTATTGTTCAGCTCTGAGCCATAAGCAAGACCCCCACTGGTCCTGGGCTGCATTGTGTTTTAGTTCGTGTCTGGGTCGCAGCCAACTAAGCCCGCTGATTAACAAAATGGAGCCAATGCATCCACTTTGTGCCTTGCGTTTTCCTCCGTCATCTCATTTAATCATCAATCACTAAGGTTTATGAGCTAGGGGGTGCTACCCCCTCCCGCGAAACGTGGGGCAATTGAAATTCAGAGGCTTATCAAAACCTGTCCTAGGATTGGCGCCAGGTCTGTCTGCCTCTAAATCTCTGTGCTCATCTTCCCTGTCACCTGTTGACCTGACAGTTTCAGCTTATAACCAGTCAGACTTGGCTTCCCCGTAAGGCCACGTATAACTTTTTTTCCCCCCTTTTCTTTTCATTTATTTATATATTTATTTTTGCGACAGGGTCTCGCTCTGTCGCCCAGGCTGGAGTGCATGGGCGCTATCAGGGCTCATTGCAGCCTCGACCTCCCAGGCTCAAGCGATCCTCCCACCTCAGTCCCCCAAAGTGCTGGGATTACAGGCGTGAGCCACAACACCCTGCCTATCTGTAACTTTCTAGTGACTGCATCCAATGGCTGGCTTTCAACCCTTGCTTGACTCAACTTCTCTCCCCTTCTTCTCTCCTCCCTAAGCTTCTGTGATCCACGTGTCTCTGCTCCTCTTTTCTCTCTGGCTATGCATATGTCCTCTTCTCTTTACCTGATGTCCTTCTCTTTACTCTTCCTGCATGATTTCCTCTGCTCCATTCCACCCCCTGACCCAGGTGCTGATGATTTCCATGTCTGGTCTCCAGCCGGGATCTATCCTGCTTTCAGTGTCCCTAAACACTGTCCGCACCCCAGCTCCGGAAACGGGCATCATGCTCACTATCTGTCCCCCACATCCAAACTGGTAATTAAGTCATTTATTCAGTTAGTCTACAAATATGGATCAAGTGTCTCCTGTTCTAGGGACTTAGGATGTCACTTAACAAAATAAAGATCTCTGCCTTTATGGAGCTTATCCTAGTAGATGTGACAGCAAACCATAGACATAAGTGAAAAATCTAATGTGCTGGAAGATGATCAGTGCTATAGGAAAAAAGTAGAACAGAATAAAGGGGATCAGGATGTGGTGGGGTACTTGAAGCTGGTTGCAGTATCAGCAAGGATAATCGGGTAAGCTTCCTTGAGAAGGTGACATTTGAGCAGACTTAAAGGAAGTGAGGTTATGAGCCAAGTGGATGTCTGGGTAAAGAGTTACAGCTCAGTAAAGGTGGAGCGGTGCTACTTTGTTGGAGGAGATGAGTGTGGCTATAATGGAACTAGTGAAGGGTGTGTAGGAGGAGAGGGGCCAGGGCAAGATTGCATTGGCCATCACAGGGACCTTGGCTTTTCCTGAGTGAAGTGAGAAGTCACTGGAGGGTGCTGAGCAGAGGTGTGACATGCTCTGACTTAGGTGTAATAAAGTCACTCCAGGCCAGGTGTGGTGGCTCACACCTGTAATCCCAGCACTTTGGGAGGCCAAGGCGGGCAGATCGTGAGGTAAGGAGATGGAGACCATCCTGGCTAACACAGTAAAACCCTGTCTCAACTAAAAAATACAAAAATTGGCCGGGCGTGGTGGCAGGCGCCTGTAGTCCCAGCTACTTGGGAGGCTGAGACAGGAGAATGGCATGAACCCGGGAGGCGGAGCTTGCAGTGAGCCGAGATCATGCCACTGCACTCCAGCCTGGACAACAGAGCGAGACTCAGTCTCAAAAAAATAATAATAATAAAATAAATAAAGTCACTCCAGCCCCTGTGTTGGAATAATCTGTAGTGGGGAGGAAGGCAAGTGTGGGAGCAGAGAAACCAGTTAGGAAGCTCTTGTGGTGCATTAGGCAAGAGAGGACATCCTGTTGGTTCTACCTCCTGAGTGTCTCTAGAATTCATTCTTGCCTTGCCATTTTCACTGCCACTGTCCTAGTCCAGACCATCATCATCTCATGCCTGGGAAAATGCAGCAGTTCCCTTTCCTATGCGTTCCTCCTCATCCGTTATCCATACAGCAGCCAGAGAGATCTCCTCACACTTGAGCTCACGCCTTGCCTTCCCTCCCACATTCTGCCCTTCAGGCATAACGCCCAGTTTGTGGGGCCTCAGGTGTACCGTCCCTACCATGCCCCAGGCAGGCCTATCACCTTTTGCATATTTCTTTCCTTCTCCCAGGAACGTCTTTCTCAAATATCACAAAAAGCATTGCCCACCTCCTCAGGCTGGGTGGAGTGCATGCCATCATGGCTGGCTAATTAAAAAAAATTTTTTTTGTAGCGACAGGGTCTTGCTATCAGGCCCAGGCTGCTTTTGAACTCCTGAGCTCAAGTGATCCTCCCAACTTAGCCTCCAAAGTATTTGTATTACAGGCGTGAGCCACTATGCCTCGACTAAAAAGCAGTTGTACTTCTAAGTACTAACAATAAGCAATCAGAAATTGAAAATTTCAAAATACTAATTACATAACTTCAAAAAATCAAATGTTTGGCCAGGCACGGTGGCTCATGCCTGTAATCCCAGCACTTTGGGAGGCTGAGGTGGGCAGATCACTTGAGGTCAGGAGTTCGAGACCAGCCTGGCCAACATGGTGAAACTGTGTCTCTACTAAAAATACAAAAACTAGCCGGGCGTGACCGGGCGCAGTGGCTCATGCTTGTAATCCCAGCACTTTGGGAGGCTGAGGTGGGCGGATCTTGAGGTCAAGAGATCGAGACCATCCTGGCTAACATGGTGAAACCCCATCTCTAATAAAAATACAAAAAATTAGCCGGACGTGGTGGTGGGTGCCTGTAGTCCCAGCTACTTGGGAGGCTGAGGCAGGAGAATGGCGTGAACCCAGGGAGCAGAGCTGGCAGTGAGCCAAGACCGCACCACTGCACTCCAGCCTGGGCAACAGAACGAGACTCCGTCTCAAAAAAAAAAAAAAAAAAAAAAACTAGCCAGGCGTGGTGGCATGCGCCTGTAATCCCAGCTACTCAGGAGGCTGAGGCAGGAGAATCGCTTGAAACCTGAAGACAGAGGTTGCAGCGAGCCGAGATTGCGCCACTGCACTCCAGCCTGGGTGAAAGAATGCAACTCTGTCTCAAAAAAAAAAAAAAAAAAACAAATATTTAATAATAAAATATAATCAGGGGTGTGCAAGACCTGTACACTGAAAAGTATAAAACATTGCTGAAAGTGAAGATCCAATAAATGGAGAGATATACTATATCCATGGATCAGAGCACTCCATATTCCTATGATGTCAATTTCCCCCAAATTGATTTATGGAGTGAATGCCATTCCAATCAGAGTCTCAGTAGGCATTTTTTAAAAATTGATGCTGATTCTAAAATACATGAAAATTCAAAAGACCTATAATATCCAAGACAACCTTGCAAAGTATAAACAGAGTTGAAGAACTTATACTACCTGATTTTACGACTTACGATAGGCCGGGCATGGTGGCTTATGCCTGTAATCCGAGCACTTTGGGAGGCTGATGTGGGTGGATCACCTGAGGTCAGGAGTTTGAGACCAGCCTGGCCGACATGGTAAAACCCTGTCTCTACTAAAAATACAAAAATTAGCTGGGTGTATTGGTGCATGCCTCCCAGCTACTCAGGAGGGTGAGGCAGGAGAATCACTTGAACCCAGGGGCAGAGGTTGCAGTGAGCCAAGATCGCACTATTACACTCCAACCTGGGTGACAAAATGAGACTCTGTCTCAAAAAAAAAGACTACTATAAAGCTACAGTGATTAAGATAGTGTGGTTTTTGGTGTAAAGATAGACATGCAGATTAGTGAAACAGAATGCATTACAGAAATAGAATAACATTTATATTTGTAGCAGGACGAGCTGCAGACAAAACCCCTCAGACACTGAGCTAGTGAAGGGAGTGGCTTTAATCAGCTGGGACATGGGCAGGCTAGCGTCTTAAAATCCGAGCTCGTCAGGTGCTCAACTTCTGTCCTTTTTAAGGACTCACAACTCTACGGGGGTCCGCGTGAGAGGGTGGTGATCGATTGAGCAAGCCAGGGGGTACGTGACGGGCTGCGAGCATACCGGTGGTCAGAGTGAAACAAAACAAATGGGAGGTTTCACAATGTCCTTCCATACAATGTCTGGAATCTATAGATAACAACAGTTGCTAGGTCAGGGGTCGAATTTTAACTACCAGGCTTAGGTCAGGCAGGCCCAGGCCTGGTTTCAGGTCTGGTTCCTAGGCGCCAGGCTACCTGCCTTTAGTTTCGCTTCTCTTTCCTTTTCTGAGTATAAAACAATATGAGAGGGTCTCTCTCTTCCCTCATACTGATTTTCTTTTTTTTTTGAGACGGAGTCTCACCCTGTTGCCCAGACTGCAGTGCAATGGCGCCATCTCCGCTCGCTGCAAGCTCCGCCTCCCCGGTTCTCGCCTCCTGAGTAGCTGGGACTACAGGCACCCCCCACTATGCCTGGCTAATTTTTGTATTTTTAGTAGAGACAGGGTTTCACCATATTAGCCACGATGGTCTCGATCTCCTGACCTTGTGATCCGCCTGCCTCGGCCTCCCAAAGTGCTGGGATTACAGACGTGAGCCACCGCGCCCTACAGTATATTGATTTTCAATATAGGTACTAGGGCAATTCAGTGGTGAAAAATGATTTTTCTTTTTCTTTTTTCTTTTTTTTTTTTTGAGACAGAGTCTTGCTGTGTCACCCAGGCTGGAGTGCAGTGGTGTGATTTTTGGCTCACTGAAAGCATTTCTCCTGCCTCAGCCTACCAAGTAGCTGGGATTACAGGTGTGCGTCACCATACCCGGCTAATTTTTGTATTTTTAGTAGAAACGGGGTTTCACCATATTTGTCAGGCTGGTCTCGAACTCCTGACCTCAGGTGATTCACCTGCCTCGGTCTCCCAAAGTGCTGGGATTACAGGTGTGACCCACCGTGCCTGGCCAAAAGATGATTTTTCAACAGAAGTGCTGAAATAATTGGATATCCATATGAAAACAAAAAACCTCATTCCCTACCTTGCATCGTATACAACACTTAACTTGAAATGCACCGTAGGTCTAAATGTAAAACCTAAAACTATAATATCTCTAGAAGAAAACAGAAAAAATCTTAGTGATGTTGGGTTAGGCAAAAATGTCTTAAATAGGATACAAATAGCATAAACTAAAATTGGATTTAATCCTAACTAAACACTTTAGCTGTTCAAATGACAGTTAAAGGGAGAAAAATTGGGAGAAAATATTTGCAAAGCATATATCTGACAAAGGACTCATATTGCGAATACGTGTTCTTCTAACTTTATAATAAATAAATGAAAAGCTAATACAAAATGGGCCAACATTTTGAGCAGACATTTAATCAAAGAAGATATTCAGATGAGAATAAGCCCATAAAAATGTGCTCAACACCATCAATTATTAGATAAATTCATTGAAAGCAATGCAATACTATTACTACTAGAATAGTTAAATTAAAAAGATGTCATACAAAGTGGTGATAATGATGTGGAACACCTAGAACTCTCTTAGATTGCTGGTGGGAATACAAAATAGTATAGCCATGTTGAAAAAAGGTTTGGTAATTTCTTACAAAGTTAAATATACATTTACCATGTGACCCAGCAATTCCATTCTTAAATTACCCAAGATAAATGCAAATATATGTTCATACAACTAGTGACAGAGAGCATCTCTAGTAGTTGCCAGGGACAGGGGCTGGGGGAGGGGACAGATTGCTCTATGGCACAAGCAAACTTTTTGGATAGTGGAAACATTCTATATATCATGATAGTAGTGGCAATTACCTGACTTATACACCTTTGGTAAAGCACACCAAGTTGTGTAAGTGGCTAATCTTATTGTGCGTTAAAACTGGCAAATCTTATTGTGTTAATATACATGATTATACCTCAGTTAAGTTGACATAAAAGTTGTTGAAAGCAAACTTACATTTTGACCTAGATTTTCCCCTTTCAGGAATCTATCTTGTTGAAGAGCTTGTACATGACCCCAAAAATTGTAAGTCCAAGGATGATTGCCACAGCATTGTTTGAAATAGTAAAACAAGACAATAGAACCATATACCCATTAGGGAGAGGATGGTTAGGTCTGTCTTTTAAATTTTTATTTATTTGTTTGTTTGTTTATTGTATTTTTTTGTAGAGACAGTCTCACTCTGTTGCCCAGGCTGGTCTTGAACTGCTGACCTCAAGTGATCCTTCTGCCTCAACCTCCCAAAATGCTGGGATTCACATGTGAGCCACCATACCTGGCTGAATTGTATAGTTTAAAATAATGAATTGTGATATGTTAATTACATCAATAAAAAAGGTAAGGAAATAACAAAGACAAAATGGAATTCAGAAAATAGAGGACAGGTGCGGTGGCTCACGCCTGTAATCCCAGCACTTTAAGAGCTTGAGGCGGGCAAATCATGAGGTCAGGAGTTTGAGACCAGCCTGGCCAACATGGTGAAACCCCGTCTCTACTAAAAATACAAAAAATTAGCTGGGCATGGTGGTGGGCACCTGTAATCCCAGCTACTCAGGAGGTTGAGGCAGGAGAATTGCTTGACTTCTGGGACTTCAGGTGCCCACCACCACGCCTGGCTAATTTTTTGTATTTTTAGTAGAGACAGGGTTTCACCATGTTGGCCAGGATTGTCTTGATCTCCTGACCTCATGATCCACCCACCTCGGCCTCCCAAAGTGCTGGGATTACAGATGTAAGCCGCCACGCCTGGCCTTTTTTTTTTTTTTTTGAGACAGTGTCTTGCTCAATCACCCAGGCTGGTGGAGTGCAGTGGCATGATCAGGGCTCACTGCAGCCTCAAACTCCTGGGCTCAAGTGATCTTCCCACCTCAACCCTACAGAGTAGCTGGGACTACAGGCATGTGCCACCGTGCCTGGCTTATTTTTGTATTTTTTGTAGATATGGGGTTTTGCCATGTTACCCTGGCTGGTCTCAAACTCCTTGGCTCACACAATCTACCTGCCTTGGCCTTCCAAAGTGTTGAGATTACAGTCATGAGCTGCTGCGTTCGGCTTAAAGTTTTTCAACATTTTTGACAACAACATCTGGATTCTCACATTCTCCCTCCATGAAAGAGAAAATGAGGAACTATTCTCCCTCTTCCATGGTAGAACACTCCAGGTACTTCCAGCCTGGAAGGCCAGACCCTCCAACATTCCCTGAATGACCCCTGCCAAGAAGTGTGCATTGAATGTGGGACTGACCACACATGAGGTCAGTTTGTCTGTCTGTTGGTCTGTCTAGACTGCCTTTGGACTTCCCTTGGCCTCTGATCTCATTCCTTCAATTAGCAAACATTTACTGAGGGCCTACTATGTTCAGGCCCCAGGCCAGGTTTTGAGGACACTGTGGAGAACAAAATACCTTCCCTGACCTCATGGAGCTTTCAGTCTCATGGTGGAGAGATCCACAAGCTAATTGCAGGGTATTGGACTATCTGCTGAATGAATGCATTAGTGGAAGAATGAATGAGTAAAAGCTACATTGTCCAAATTTCTGTCCTGTCAGAATTGATGTTGACATTCTTTTTTTTGTTTGTTTAGATACTCACTTACTTTAACAACAGTACATATACCATGTTATCACCATGAAATGTAAATTCAGGTTAGACAAGAGAATTTCACAAATGTAATAACATTCTATAGTTTATAAAAGTTTGGGTATACTGTCTGGCCAAACCAGCTTTCTCATAAGTCATTAATCAATTCCATTATAGGTAATTTGTTTGGTTTAATGTCTGTAATTCTGAGGGAAAAAATAAGCAACGCACACATTTAAAAAGGGTTCATTGGGCTGGGCACAGTGGCTCATGCTTGTAATCCCAGCAATTCGGGAGGCTGAGGCCAGCAGATCACGAGGTCAAGATTGAGACCATCCTGGCCAACATGGTGAAACCCCGTCTTTACTAAAAATATAAAACTTAGCCAGGCATGGTGGTGTGCACCTGTAGTCCCAGGTACTCAGGAGCCTGAAACAGGAGAATCGCTCAAACCCGGGAGGTGGAGGTTGCAGTGAGCCGAGATCATGCCACTACACTCCAGCCTGGCGACAGAGCGTGACTCCGTCTCAAAAAAAAAAAAAGTGTTCATTTACCTTTGCATGAGTGCTTAAATACGTATTTCTATCTCAAGATGACATTTAAAAATTATTCAGATATAACAGCAGCAAAAATATAATTCTGCAATTACAAAATAACTAAACTAGAATCCATAAGTTATTCTCATGTTTACAATTGTGATTCTTTAATAAATACCACTACTATGCAGCTCTATTGTAAGCTTTCTAGATTTGGTTTAAACACACACACATAGATACTGTCAGTTGTGGGAAGCTTTACAAGTTATATTCCATGCACTTTTTGGACGGAGTTCTAAAAGAGCCAGCCAGTCCACAAGACGGGCAGAAAAAAGTCAACTGGGGCAAATAGGACTCTTATATAACATCCAAAACATGTGAGATCCTGCAGCAAACTGGGAGTACTTCAGGGTTGGCCCGTTATCTTCTTTAGAACTAAGTTCATCTTCACAGTTTAAGAAGGTGGACATTTCAACACAATCTAGTGCATTTAGGTGACATGTTTCTTTTATGCTAACTTGATTTCCTTGAATGACCTAGTTAGTAAACTAGTCACTAGTAATTTGGTCACCAGGCAAATCAAGCCTGCAAGAAAGGAAGCCAATATTCAAAATGCTGTGTTACCATCTAAACCCACTCAAATAGTTTATTTTCCACAATAACACATAACTTCAATAATGAGACGTCTAACTAAAGCAAGCTCGTCCAACAAGACCAAGACAGCATCTCTTCTTCTAAGGCTTAGGTTTTGTCTGGAATTCCCGATACACGGAACAGCCCTTACCAACAGTCGTTGCTCCTGCAGCAAAGCCAGATGAAGGGACATTTGAGTATTTCCCCTGCTCTTCAATGTGTATAATCCATATGTAACAAGTGCTGCAAAACCTGCTATTCCAACGGGTACGAATAGTGCCTCTTTAGCTTTTCGAATAAGTTTGGATCCCTGATCTTCATCATATGAAGAAAGGGAAACATCTGTGTCTGTTGACATAGTGACCGCTTGAGGAATCTCCCTAGAGCAGAAAACCTGTCACACCTGATGTCAACATTCTTTTAGTTAACACTTAACGTGTTTTAAGTGCCAAGTATGTGACAGATTTAGACCAAGCGTTTTTACAGGGCATGCAACGTAACACCCAGTCCTTCCCTGCCCAAGTTTAGTACCATCTGAAAAACAGACACATAGGATAGAGATGAAAATGTTACTTCTGTAACCAATAGAGTTGTTGAGAAAATGCCATTTGATGTCCCCGTACCCATCCCAGAGTTGCACAGACTTACCCACTCTGCTCCCAAAGGTTTCTCCTCCTTTTGATGTAGGGTAGGCAAGCCCCCAAATTGGGGCTTAGGCTGGGAGGGTTTTTGGCTTTGTCCAGGAAAGAATTCCACTGTGAGCCAGTGCTGTTAGCCACTTTTATTGAAGTGGCAGTACACAGCAGCAGCAGATGTACTGCTCCTTGCAGACCAGGGCTACCCTGAGTAGCAGCTCAGAGGCAGTTCTGCAGTCATATTTATAGCCACTTTTAATTATATGCAAATTAGAGAGCAGATTATGCAGAAATTTCTAGAAATAGGGTGGTAAATTCTTGAGTCATTTGGTCATTAACACAGAAAAGGGTAGTAACTTCCAGGTGTTGCCATGGTAATGGTAGACTGACATGGCACACTGGTGGGTGTGTCTTATGGAAAGCTGCCTCCACCCCCATCCCTGTTTCAGCAAGTCCTCAATTTGATCTGGTGACCCAGCCCCACCTCCAGAATCGAGACCTGCCTCCTATCTCACTTTGGGTCCCATACCTAGTTGCTTCTAACAACTTCACCAAGAAAAGTCTCTTCTCTACTTCTTGGGAGGAGTGAGTGACAGAAAGTGGGACGAGGCCACTTTTCTGCAGTGTTAGTTACTCCAGAAAAGGCCCACCATGCAGAAAGAGATATAATGAGAAATAATCCTTAGTTTGTGTCAATCAAACCCAAACAGTCAGTTATCCAACCAATCAGTCAATTCCTCAATCCAAGCAGCATGAAACTGCACTCCTAGTTAGGTTTGTGGATTACAAATGCTCATAAATTCCTTATCCTTTCCCTCATGGAAAAGTGGGGTTTACTTCTCCACCTCCTTAATTCTAGACTTGGCCGATGACTTGCTTTGAACCAGTAGAATATGGTGGAAATGATGCTGTGCCCAATTCTGGACTTACCCTTTAAGACAGAACTGGCAGCTTCTGTTTTCTTCTCTTGGAATTCAGCCACCATGCTGTGAGGAAGCCCAGGCCGTCCTGTGGGGAGGTCCATGTAGAGGAGAATCAAAGCTCCATTCTCAGCCTTTTGGGTAAGATCAAGTGTAGTAGTATCTGTTTTTATCAGTTTAATATCTGATATGTCCTCTACTCGAGGACACAATCTATATTAAATAGATTTTTGGAACTAAGAGATAGAATAGGAGCTTGCCTCACCCACTCCACACATCGACCTAGCATTGCAGTACCTCCAGGAACAGTGTACCCCTAAGGAGAGATAAAGTTTAAAAATGAAAAAAGTAGGGAATAAAAAGCTCTAGCCCTACCATCCAATTGGCTGGGGGAATTTAAATAAACAAATAAATAGCTCTAGCCAGCATCACCTTGCCAGCCATTGGAGTGCACCATCTTTGAAGGGTCCTCCAGCTCCAAGGATGAAGCTGGAGGCACAAGAAGAGCTGTCTCAACCAGGCCTTGCCCAAATTGCGTAATGGTGAAATAAATGATTGTTATTGTCACAAGCCTCCAGGTTTGAGAGTGGCTTGTTTCACAGCCCTAATCTAATTTGACTCCCTGTTCTCGGCCCCAGAGCCAGGGCCTGCTACAGAATAAGAACTCAGGGAGTGTTGAAGAAGTGAGTCAACAAATGACTGGGCTGAGTGCTGTGGCTCACGCCTGTAATCCTAGCACTTTGGGAGGCCAAGGCAGGTGGATCACCTGAGTGAGGTCAGGAGTTCAAGACCAGCCTGGCCAACATGATGAAACCCCATCTCTACTAGAAATACAAAAATTAGCCAGGTATGGTGATACGCGCCTATAATCCCAGCTACTCAGGAGGCTGAGGCAGAAGAATCGCTTGAACCCAGGAAGTCGAGGTTGCAGTGAGCCAAGATAGCGCCACTGCACTCCAGCCCCTGGCCGACAGAGTTAGATTCTGTCTCAAAAAAAAAAAGATTGGATTGGCTAAGTGGATGATGGATGACTGAATGATTGGATAAGTGAATTGTGTTAGGCCTGAAAGGTCTAGAGTGATGAGCTCTGGCAGAACCAGGGACTCAGAGTCCAGCAGCTTCAAGGAGGATGAGAAGCCATCTCTGCTGGAATTGTTATAAATAATTTCCTGGGAAGGGCCCCTGGCAGATCTACTTGGAGTGGCATGTCACAGGCAGTGCATACTCAGCTGCTCAAGTGAGACACTAACTGCAGTCCCAGAATCTGGAAAGCTCCACAGTGCATTAGGCCCAGTCTCACTATCCCTGCTGGACCCACACCAGCAGAAGGAGTGCCCGGGGGCTGTTACCTGTCTCCCTCGACTCTACTTGGTTCCAAATGTAAGTCTCACATGATTGAAACTGTGGAAGGAGGCTGGGCACGGTGGCTCTCACCTATAATCCCAGCACTTTGGGAGGCCAAGGGGTCGGATCACCTGAAGTCGGGAGTTCAAGACCAGCCTGACCAACATGAAGAAACCCCGTCTTTACTAAAAATAAAAAATTAGCCACCCGTGGTGGCACATGCGTGTAATCCCAGCTACTTGGGAGGCTAAGGCAGGAGAATCACTTGAACCCAGGAGGCAGAGGTTGCGGTGAGCCGAGATGGCACCACAGCACTCCAGCCTGGGAGACAAGAGTGAAACTGAGTCTAAAACAAACAAACAAACAAAACCAGAAGGAATATCTGCAACTCGTGTTTATTTATTTATTTATTTATTTATTTATTTTTATTTATTTATTTATACCATTCCAGCCTCTGTGGTCCAGGCAGCCAGCTGGGAGGAGGCTGGGACAGATGCTCAGTGACCAGCGTGGGCTTGCTAATCTGACAAGGGCCTTTCTAAGGGGATATTTGGATTTCTGCATGATCTGCTTCCAGCCTGCCTCCCTAACCCTGCCAAATCCTCATCATGCTCTTTGTTTGTTTATTTATTTATTTATTTATTTATTTTTGAGATGGAGTCTCACTCTTGTTGACCAGGCTAGAGTGCAATGGCATGATCTCAACTCACTGCAACTTCCACCTCCCGAGTATAAGCAATTCTCCTGCCTCAGCCTCCTGAGTAGCTGGGATTACAGGCAACTGCCACCATGCTCAGTTAATTTTTGTATTTTTAGTAGAGATGGGATTTCATATGTTGACCAGGCTGGTCTCGAACTCCTGACCTCAGGTGATCCACCCGCCTCAGCCTCCCAAAGTGCTGGGACTACAGGCGTGAGCCACTGTGCCCGGCCCTCATCATGCACTTTGGTGTTTTTGGTTTTTTTGAGATGGAAGTCTCGCTCTGCCGCCCAGGCCGGCCCTCCAGTGAGGGCCTGTGGTGAATTCTTCCTACTATTGAAGCAGTGTCTCGGGGCTGTCATTTCCAACAGTTTCTGTGCAAAGCCAGGGAACAGCCACCTCGGGCCCCTTGGCAGGCTGCCACCCTAGGCAGTTGTCTCGAGTCTGGGTGTCCTCAGAGGGCAGACCAGGGACAGGAGGTTGATGTCTGTCATCCCTCTGCAGGAGCACGGGCAGCTGGGCAGTGAGGCCACATTAGGACTCAACTCAGGCTGTCCTGAGCATCTGAGAAAGGGAAGTAGGATAGAGGGGCAGGCGGGGACAGATCCGCGGGCAGCATGGATCACCCAAGACTAGTATAAGGAAAGGGGCTGGGGCGCTAAGGTGCAAGTTGGGCAATCAGCTGGCACCTGGGCAATCAGCACACAGTTACCTGTTATGTGCCAGGTGCAGGGCTGGGTGCTGGGATTCCAGGGTGAGCAAAAAGACACCTGCCCTCATGAGACTTTTGCCTAGTGCAGGAGATTCAGGGCACACACCTTTCCTCCTACTGCTCACACTTGCTCCTCCTGCCTCCTCATTTTTCCTTCCAGCTAGAATGGGTGGGGTTTCCTCTTCACATTCATTCACTCAATTATTCACCCAAGTATTTATCCAGTGTCCACCTTGAACCAGGTCTTGTTCTAAGTGTTGTAAATGTATTAGCAAATGAAATAGAAAAACCTCCCTTCCCTTATGAAGCTTACAGAATATTAAAGACAAAAAATAAACCAGGAAGCACACAGAGAAGTGACGACTTTGAGAAATCAAGAAGGGAGGGGAGGCAAGCAGGTGAGGAGGACCCAGAAGCTTTGAAAGGAAGAGAGAGGTTGGGCGTGGTGGCTCACGCCTATAATTTTAGCACTTTGGGAGGCTGAGGCAGGAGGATCACTTGATCCCAGGAGTTTGAGACCAGCCTGGCCAACATAGCAAGACCCCGTCTGTATAAAAAAATAAAAAGAAAAAAGAAAAGAGGAGAAAGATGGCTGTTCCATTCTAGTAGGAGAGGAGGCAGAGAAAGTGTTTACAGGTGCAGATTCAGGTAAGATAGAGGAGAAGAAAAAGGAAAAGGGGCTGAGCGCAGTGGCTCACACCTGTAATCCCAGCATTTTGGGAGGCCAATGGGGGTAGACTGCTTGAGCCCAGGAGTTCAAGACCAGCCGGGGCAACATGGTGAAACCCTGTATCTACAAAAAATCAGCTGGGCTTGGTGGCACGCACCTGTGGTCCAAGTTATTCAGGAGGCTGAGGTGGGAGGATGGCTTGAGCCCAGGAGGCAGAGGTTGCAGTGAGCAGAGATCGAGCCACTGCACTAAACAGCCTCGGTGACAGTGAAACCCTGTCTCAAAGCAAAAAAAGCAAAGGGGAAAGAAGGCGTGTTGGAGCTTTGCAGAGAGAGGAGAGGGTGTGATTAGTTACCTCAGAAAGTGGAACTGTGATTCTGAATGACATTTTCGTAAGAAAAAAAAGTGGAAATGTGAAGTTTCTAGACATCTGCAGTGTGATTGCCAGGAAACATGAATGGCCAAGGAGTTTTGTAGCTGAATTGAAAGTGAAACAATCGGCCGGGCGCGGTGGCTCAAGCCTGTAATCCCAGCACTTTAGGAGGCCGGGACGGGCGAATCACGAGGTCAGGAGATCGAGACCATCCTGGCTAACACGGTGAAACCCCGTCTCTACTAAAAAATACAAAAAACTAGCCGGGCGAGGTGGCGGGCGCCTGTAGTCCCAGCTACTCGGGAGGCTGAGGCAGGAGAATGGTGTAAACCCGGGAGGCGGAGCTTGCAGTGAGCTGAGATCCGGCCACTGCCCTCCAGCCTGGACGACAGGGCGAGACTCCCTTCTCAAAAAAAAAAAAAAAAGAAAGTGAAACAATCCTCTGGCTATCTGATTTCCTCTTCTTGCAGTACAGGCACTAAGTAGGTGGATGGATGTTTCAACCAGGCCTTGAGTCTCCCAGGCGAGGTGGTTTTAGGAATGTCCATGCATTCTAGATGCCACTTCCTTCCTTCCTTCCTTTCTCTCTCTTTCTTTTCTTTTCTTTTCTTTGACAGAGTCTCGCTCTGTCACCCAGGCTGGAGTGCAGTGGTGTGATCTTGGCTCACTGCAACCTCCGCCTCCCGGATTCTAGTGATTCTCCTGCCTCAGCCTCCTGAGTAGCTAGGATTTCAGGTGTGGGCCACCACACCTGGCTAATTTTTGTATTTTTAGTAGAGATGGGGTTTCACCATGTTGGTCAGGCTGGTCTTGAACTCCTGACCTTGTGATCTGCCTGCCTTGGCCTCCCAAAGTATTGGGATTAAAGATGTGAGCCACTGCACCTGGCCTGATACTCCTCTTTTCAAGACATGGAGGCTCGCTCCCCTCCCCCGAATGTAAACTGGACTTAGTGACTCACTTCTAAAGAATAGAATGAATGAAGGTGGTGGTGAGAGACCTAGGAGAGCTGGCACAAACGCACTTTGGCTTCCTGTCTGCACTGTCTCTTGGATCTCTTGCTCTGGGGGAAGCCAGCTGTCATGAGACACTCAGCAGCCCTGTGGACAGGTTCACATGGTGAGGAACTAAGGCCTCCCAGCCCACAGCCGTGTAAGAGAGCTGCCTGGGAAGGCAATCCTGCAGCCCCACACAAACCCTCAGAAGACAGTAGCCCTGGCCAGCATCTTGACTGCAAACTTCACGAGAGACTGTGAGGCAGAACTTCCAAGTTAATGCTCCCACATTCCTCATCTACAGAAACTGTGAGATAATAAATTGGGTTTTTTTTTTTTTTTTCATTTAAACCACAAAGTGTAGGGTAATTTTTATTTATTTAGTGCAAAGCTGACACATTCCAGATAAGGCTCCCAAACTCTAGATGCTGTCTCAACAACTGGACCAAAAGACTTTCTGCATAGCCACTGCCTCTCCTGCTGCTCCTTGCCTCTAGTCCCTTACTACATGATGTGATATGTACT